TACTTGTCTGAGGAATCTATATTATATTTTGCTCGCTATAGGCAGTAACTATGATTAGGTAAAAATATACTTGATTTACGGTCAGTGACTATTATCGAAGACAAAAGCTTTGTATATTTGTACAAAGCTTCAGACAAAGATTGTATATTTTTATAGCAATGCCAAGACATGCAAGCTCCATGATATGCTCAGTTTATTTGAATCAAGTCTGCGCTGCTTTCCACTTCCCAGCCCCAAAAGAAAGTCTTACTACCTATTAAAGAAAAAAAAAAAAACGTTTTGGATTCCGGAGCCGGTTCGGAGCTTTCTAAAATTCAGATCTCTAGAATTGCCAGGGATGCATGTAGCCATTTGAAAGACTTTTAATACAGCGCCTGTTATTATGCTTCATAGCTGCTCGAAAACTCACAATCCAGCATGCCTCTCAATACGATTCACGCATGTGTCTTGTGATTAATCTAGGGTGACCCGACCCCTCCCATGACATCACAGGTCATCATCCACTCAGATGACTATCGACTATCCATGGGTCAGATCTATGAATTTATCCCTTTCAGGCTCATTTTAGAAAGCTGGGTCCATTTTTATGACAGACTGCTCGCCATTGTAAATTGGAAACATATGACCTTAAATGACATTTCTGTAAGGTCACATCTAAAAAATCGAGGTCATCCGAGACTGTAGCCGATTAATCTTGATGAGATCTTTCGAATGTCATTTGAATGTTTCTGATCCGATCATTGGCTCCAGAAACAAACCGGGGGCCCTTTAACCTTCCCCCACCCCCACATCAACAGGACCTGTATCCGCCAGACCTCAGCGGGGCGCGGGTTAATCAAAGGCTCTGTAGGAAAATTTCCTCCGATACGACAACACCGATACGGCACGGCAGTCCGCTACGTGACCGCATTGCCGTCCCACCGTCTGATGGGCGGAGGACCATCCATCCCTTTCGCCCCGCATTCAGTCATCTACCGACGGCTGGGGGCGGAATGCGGCGACGGCCGCGTAAACATCCGCAGGGAAGGACGCGGCACAGCTAGACCCGCGCGCCGGCGCAGGAGCGCGACCAGCGACAGGTCAGAGACGCCACGCTCCTCCGCCGGCGCAGTGGACCACGCCGGGTCACCTGGTGCCGCCCCTGCGACCCACACTACCCCAGTCATCTTCAGCGATAACTATGTAGTCTAGCTAACCGACTTCCAAGGCCCGGCGTCGCCCGCCACTGGAAGGGAGCAATCCTCCGGGCAACAATCAGGGCTGGCCGGCGGCCGGAGGGACCGTGTCACCGTTACTAGGTCGGGTCGGCGGCACCTTCCACTTCCTCGTTCCCGAGTTATGTGTTGTTCCGTTCTGTTATTGTGTGATCTGTCCTGCGAGTCCTAGTCCTCGCGAGCCGCGCCGGAGGCATTACCATCAGCCTCAAGCGCGGTACATAACGGACACTGCTGAAAAGCACCCCTGACCTTTCCACAATGCCCCGCCTGTGATTTTCGGTTGCATTTACCATTTCCACACATGCATCATTGACCTGTAAACGTGACCTCCATGTTGCAAGCTCGAAGCTCGCCGTGACCCTCTGAGCCGTGTTGGGTCGGTTCGTTAGCATATAGCGGCGCTTTTTCTCACACCCCGTGTAGATCTTCCTGCAGTCGTGTATGTTTTTGTTGGGTACCTACGAATACGATAGTGACCGTACGGACTCGTGAAGGGGCCGGCGATCGATAGAACCTTGAGCTAGATGAGTTGAAAAAGGCACTCATCAGCATGCTAGGTGCAAGTACGCTAACCTTCCGGCTTCCTCACTTCGTCCTCACAAAAAGGACAAGGTGAAAGACGCCTGAAGAAGGACGTCCGTTAGATGCCTGAGGATGCTGATCCGGATGCGTTACTTCCGGTAAAGGGCGAACCATTTCCGGCCGACCATTGTGTGTTTGCTTATGGGATGGAAAACAATACAAATGTATAAGGGTAATCAATCTCATAATTCAAAAATTGTACTGCATAGGTTACCTGTATAAATGCACTGGTTCCAAATCGATTCAGACTCCAGAGCTGATGGTGATTAACCCTCGCCCGCAAATGCCATTTTCCCATCCTAGAACGCACATGGTGGGGGGGGGGGGGTGCCACCCCCCGCGCCATTTCGTTCCTATTGGAGATAGAGCTTAGCGGTAAGGACCAAAAAGATTCTTTGGGAAGAGACGAATCCAATGATACCCAGTTTTACCTTCTCAAGTCAGTCATTGACCTTCCAGGTCAGGTCAAACTAAAAAATGTTGCTGTTTTGGGTCACCGTTGGATATCAAGTGCGCTGCTTATCATATACCGATGACGATGCCGTTTTCTGGTGCCAAGCCAGCTAGAACCTCTTTGTCACACTACCCGACCAGGTTTTTGCTGCTGAGGTCATTTCAGGTCAAGTTAGGTCAAGGTCAATTATATGTGTTTGTATGTCTGTGTGTGTCTGTGTGTATACTGATGTGTACACCGATTGTTTAGGTGTCCATATTGCATGAAATCATGATCTGAGAAGCTTTTACCAAGGATGCAGTCAAAAAACTTCACAAAAAGTACATTTCGCTTGCCCAAAACGCAATTATCTTAGATGACCTAGGTTGACCTTGACCTTGACTTTGACATCTGTACATCGTCGAACAACATGTTCCATGATAGGTGGGAGGTAAGACTGGCAAAAAAAGGCCGAAATCAAGGTGTCAAAAGCTCACAAGGCCCATAGCCAACGCAAGATGTTGAGAATTGGCCATTTGGGTCATGACATGACCTGAAAAACAAGGTCATATCTCCGAAACCAAAAACCACAGAAACTTGAAATTTTCAGTGGACATCAAGAAAGGATAGAGGAGCAGCTATACGAAAAATCAGCCTCCTAGCTCTAAAAATGTTGAGTGCAGAGCAGAAAGACTACCTGGGGGGGGGTGGCAACCCCCCCCCCATGTGCGGGCGAGGGTTAAATTACCTATACCCATACAGACGGAATGTCAGGTGATCTGCCGTGACACGTGATCATCACGAGATTGGCCAACAGTGCCGCTGGCAGCTGCTTGTAATGCATTACAAGCCTCTAAACATATCTATTTATGTACGAGAAATATGTTACAGCGCGTGTTGCTCAACGTTCGCCTGCCTCCACAATGGAGCCGCCAATCATGCGCCAGTGACACCGCAAACATTACGCCTCTGCCATCGGCGTGTAGTGCGGCACAGAATAGATGCAGGCGCGCCGATTAGCCCGCCATCTATTGGCAGAGCCGTCAGCTCGTGCCAGTGGTTTGACCACCAAAGTAATCATTCGTTCGAACGGCGCTGGAATGTTGGGGTGAGCCGCTTGGTATAATACTAGCAGGTCTGCGATCTGTCGTTTAAAATTCAACAATTGCTGGATAAATGTGAGCCAGGACAGGCATGGATTGCAAACCGTAGTCCAGTCAGCTGTGTTTTTGCTGTCTATGCGTTATTATCCACATGCCGTGAGAGACCCAGTTTCATGAGACCATGACTGTCAAACATGAACAGAATCCAGACCTGTTTGGAAAGCGTCACTAAAACCTTAACGTCAGAGTTAGTACAGCAGTGTCAGTAATTTCTACCCCGGATATGAGACAAGACAGACGTTAGCCGGCTTCGGAAAGCGCCTGGTAACACACTGGATGGTGACAAATACGGGCACGGTCATAGGTCGTGAAGGGGACACTGTAGCCAGCAGTAACAGTCTCATAGGTGCGGGCTTGTGTGAGCAATTAGAATTTACACCAATCAGTGGAAAATGCGTGTTAGCGCCCAGCTCTGAGACGAACATTATATGAATCTGCACTGCACTGTGCAGGCATTAAGCCGCCAATGCCTCACTTCTCTACAAACAGAACCACCGGCAACGGCAGGCGCAACGGCGAGATTCATAAATCCCCATAAAACAGCTATGGTCTGTTCAGAAGGTGACCTTCCCATTAACCCGCTCCTATCCTCTCCATACACTCCCCCGACTCTCCCCGACCCAGCGCGGAGCAGACCCCTGAGGGCGTGGCCCGGCACCCAGCCGCCAACCCGCGGTCATTCCCCTGTGCTGCGCCTGGCAGCCACAAACACTGCCAGAGGGTCAGATGGCCAGTTTATTTCACATGAGCCGCCTCCTGTGCTGACGGCTGTGACGTCACTATGACATCATCCCGCTGTCCGGGCGCGGGGTGCTGGGCGGCTGGGCGGTGCTGGAGCCGAGCGGTCCAGTTCGGTCCGCCCCGGCCCACCCGTCACACAACTCATGCCCAGACACGGCCGGTGTCCAGCCCCGCAGCACGTGCACCCGGGTCACGTTACGGTCGCGTCACGGTCCGGCCGCGTGACGGGTCGGTGGGGGTGGGGGGGGGGATGGACTCACTGACCCGAGGATCACCGAAGGAATATGTCCCCACATCAGGGAGGTCACGTCATTCGGTGGCCGCACGGGTCAGCGGCGGTGCTCGCAGTCCCTGCCCGGGCTCCGAATGGAACAAAGGCCCGGCCCGCCACAGCCGGGGGGAGGGGTAGCGGGGGAAAGGTCAGTGGGTCCGGCGCGGTCGATCGTGGAATAGTGGATAGCCAGGCTAAGAAGGCAGCAACCTGAGCCATGGATGAGCCAAACAGCATGGCAACAGGAAAAGGGAGCTGACCCCAACATTAATCCGTACAAGTGTACATAGAAATGTGTACACCCAGAAATTCCAAATGTTTGCACCATCAAATATATCCAGCACTCAGTTTTTATGACGTGAGAACAGCGACCATGTGATGGACGAATTACTCACAACTTGCACTGCGACACTCTAAAGTCTAAAGCAATGAAACGGTGCCGCATAACTGCGACAAAGTACAATGGTACTACAACAGTGATAGACAGTGCAGTTCTGGCAGCGGTGATTACGAGGACGAACGCACTAGGTATGTCAATGTGCCCGACTACACGGCGGCATCTGCCCTAGTCCCAGCCCGGCCACACACGTGAAGATTGCAGACGATTGCATTCAGAAAGAACATGCTACATTAAACGCGGCAGTGACTATGTACAGCACGAATTGGTCACAAAAAAAAAAACAGAGCAGAATTCACGCAAGACACCCTTAAACGCAAGCAACACTTATCAGGACGATAAATGAAACGTGACGCTGCGAATTCCAATTTATAATAAAATGAAACCTGCTAGTCTCGCGACTAACTCAAAGAAGCACAGCTCACGCCTGACCAGAATGACCACAGGGCCACGGACCCGAAACAAGCTCGAAATTGCTCGAACCTGCTCTTAACCTTAGCACTATCTCCTGAGCCTCATCACTCGATATCATTCCTTTTGATTTCGTCAAACATTTCAAACCAACGTTAAATACCAAGCATTCCCAAAACTTGAATCCTCCTTCGATTTTTCCCTCAATTTCCTTTGTTTGTTTTTACTTTTTACCACAAAGTATGCCCACATCACGGTAATCCCGAGTCCTGGCTTCATGCTAATGGTATGTACCGGCGCCGGGTCGAAGGCGACGGCAGCCTACCTAGCGGCAAGACTGCGTACTAATGGGGCACGCCGGTGTCTGCACTGCGGGGCGCCTGGGCTTCAACCACCCGGCACGCATCGCAGTTCTCACACTCGCCACTCGTTCCACCGCGGCCTGTGGACGGCAGTGGACGACCACATGCACTCCACCATCCGCCGATGGTCCACTGGGATGGGGCAGTGCACGGCTCCAGATCACCTCAGAAGCCCAGGGAGCACGCACGGCCACAAGGACGGCCCCACAGAGCACGGCACTGGTCCGGGATAGCACAGCACGGGCCCTCGGGGCTCGGAGCAGCACGACACGGCCCCTCGGAGCAGCACGGCGCAGCTCCTCTGGTCTATAATACCGCTCATGGACCATAAGCCCAAATATCGATCTGTCCGCACGACCCGCGACCAGGGGTCAAGAGGTCCAGATGTCCCGACATCGACCAGAGGCGGTGCCCTCTACCTATTTCCGTCGACAGGGGCTGGCAGTCCCCACCTTTCGCCCTCACTCACATTTAACATTACAACCGGTGACGTCCCCACCGGCGGATGACGTCGCCATCACTGATACCACGTCACTGTGCTGAAACCGACCTTATGAGATGACCAAGGGTGCGCGCCGCAGGCTGGTGAAAGAGGCGTCTGTCCGTCGCGCGGCGGCTCCGTATTGCTGTCCTAGTCGTCAGCCGTGCCTGGAAACACAGCAGGGCTGAGGTCAGGGCCAGGGCAATGGGATGGATGGTAGCTGAACCGTCAGGTGATGAATGCTGGAATTTTAACCACAGTGAAACAATGAGAAATGAGTGGAACAACAGAAATTGATCTTATCAACGCTTAAGTAGAAAAACAATCTACTAAGTTAATTCTCGAATTTAAAAAAAAAGAGTGGAAGGGAAAAAATACTTCTAAGCCGTGACCGTATATGGTACGCTTCCATTTTAGCGGGGCTTTACACGAAAGGCTTCCACAAACACGAAACGATCAAAAGGCTGATATGTTGACAGCGCAACGGTACAAGCCTGGCCGGCTCGGGAATAGATAGTTGTACTTAGTTTTCTTTTTTTCGGTGCGACCGGTAAAAATTAGCGTCAAGGTGCGGTGTAAAGCTGACCGATAGCTGACCACTGCATGGCAGCGGAGGCCGGCAGGAAACTGATGGCAGTATCGCCAGCGATAGCATATGTTGGTGAAAGCACTGCCGAATTTTCTCGAGCGCACGCGACATCGCATCATTGATTGAGTGGGTAGATATAAGTCTACCTAAGTGGATTAAAACGTCAGTGAGCAAAGAAACTAGAACGGTACATACTACATACCGAAGATGGGGTTATGTAATATGGGCGGTCATTGCACGACAGGCTTCTAAAATCACGATACGATCAAATGGCTGACGTGTTGACGGCGCAACGCGCCGGGCCTGGGGTGTTTGAACACCCCTCTTGCGGTTTTTCGCAGAGTTATCAACACTGGCGGCGCTCCGCGTCGTCATTTTTGGCACTTCTCATGCATTTTTTCTGCACAAGTTGTGAAAATTTCAGACCCAGGTCACTCAAGGTTAGGTCACCAAGTGACCCAACCTCAGAAAAGGTTAGATTGCTCGCCATAGCTACACCGACTGAACGGTCACTTTGAAACATTCAGCAATTGATAAGGGTAACAATATGCATAAAATTACTACCTGGGAATTTTGATATCGGAAGGTCAGGACAATGTTGCGTCCTCTTCAGCATGTTAATGGGAAAAATTGAAAGGCGCCTCTTTTGGACAAATGTCATTCTAAAGACTCTCAAACATTGAGTTACAGGTAAGCATGATACGCTGCATCGTAAAATTGCACCCATATCCTTGCACCCAAATCCTCGTGCTCCTGAAGTCAGCTCAGTCATGAAAGGTCTCCAGCTGTTCTTTGACAATAACTTGTTTTGATAGAGACTTGCAAGAGCGATGAAAACACCTTCGATGTGTTCAATGTGACGATACAGATCGACTGATAGGAAGCATGACATTTTCCGGCCAGGTCATGAACTTGGCCTGAAGTCAAATTTCTAAAAGGATCTTCCTCTAAATGACCAGGAATGCCTTCCGCCCCTCTCCGACCCCTACTCCGTATTCACAGGACTGAGTCTCATCTTTCACCGCCGACTGGTCACGTAATCAGACTCGCCAGAGACCGGGCCGACTGACCCGCAGCGCGGTGGGCGTCACGTCATGCTGCTTCAACTGTGATCTTTTGATGTTCTACAGTAAAATTTGTCATTGTGTGCAAAAATAAATGTTAGGACATGTAATCTGGTTGACTTTATTTGCACTTTGCAGGGTCTGATTACAGATGCGCTGAAGAAGGGGTAAAGCCTGCTGGTGTTTATTCACTCGGTCGTATTTTTGCCTTGAGGAACAGCCCGTCGGCGGGGCCTTCAACCGCCGCCCGTGCCAGCCGCGGTGGCTCGCGTGACCTGTCCAGGACACCGTCCGTACCCTCGGACAAGGACACCCCGTGTACGAGCCGGCCCGTACTGGGCTTATGCCCTGAGTGTCGCGCCGGCTCACGTGCCAATAATCGCCGTTCAGGAAAAGGGCCGCCATCAGCCGAGGGCACCATCGAAGGGCAGCATTGAATTGATATCGGTTTGGACGGTGAGCTGTCACCCTTGGAGGCCCCTCTGATGGCCAATGTCCTTTTTGCTCCACCGGGTAAACAGGCGTCCTTTCCTCCCGCTTGGCGCTTCAAATAACGATAAAAATTGTTAATTGCGTGTCGGGGATATAAACAACAATTGCGACTACAATAGGGTTGACTAGCAAATAATGGAAGTGCCCCTGGCACTGGCGAACACAAATACCAGCACGTGAACACAATGTTTTCACTACCATCACAATGGTGGAGTATTTTCTAAAGAATACTATCCTTATACTGCTGCATTTAGCTCTGACAACCTGACTTTTCATGGTTCCTATGGTCCACACGATACTGTGGCGTACCACATACAAATGGTCTAACAATGGGTGGGAATCTCTCGCCAGCGCAAGGTCATCAGTGCTCAATCTCAGATTGGGGAAGTGTCTGTCGACATTATCAATTTCCTTTATAAGGCATTTGGGGTGAATATAGCATCTGTACGAGCGAATTTTTGTGAAATCAGCGATTTCAGAGGTGGAGTCATTTGAGGATGGAGAACGGTCAGTGTCTGGGGGCACCCAAGGCGCGTGCGCAAGAAACAAACACTGCAAACACGTGTCTGCACGTTGGGGTGAAATTCCTCCTCCCCCAGTGAAAACTCCTTATAGGAGGTCCTATCGTAAATCTTTGCTACAGCAATAAGAGACCCAGAGGATACTTCCCTTGGTTACTTTTTATTGTTATTGGCTCGGATCCCCAGACGCCTGGGTGAGAATGAGAGGCATGCGCTGCCCAGCTAAATCTTTTTTTTTTCAACCCACGGCGTGCTAAAGGATGGACTTTTTAACCACCTCCCCCCTCCTCCCAGGTTTACCTGATTATCTGTGCCGCTGAGCGCTGTGTTTTACCAGACCCGAAAATACACTTAAGCCGCGGGCAGATCTGGTTCGCTTTCTTTTGAGCTGTGCCCCATACACGTCAGGCTTCTACAATCACAATTAAAATAGCTGAGTTGCTAGAGTGCTCTGTAGAGCAACTGATCGAAGACCAAGCGCTGTGCAGCAGCTGAAGCCATTCACTTCACACAGCTAGAATCCACAGGAATTCCGAAATAGGTACGTACGCCAGTAAAAACAATGATTATGACCACAGCACGAAAAAAATGTTAATAACAGACAGTGTCATAGGGTGAAGCTAAACATTCTTATCAGACACTCCGTAAGACCGCTCCTGCGAGCGGTGCGGCATCAGACTGGGAGGGACGAGCGACGGCGTATTATTTTATCAGTGGGAGCGCGTGCTACACCACCTGTTGTTGCTTTACGGCCTCTCCTGCCTCGGCGACCCCTCACCTCCAACCGTACCGGCCGGCACATAAATGCTTACGCCCTCCCATGCTCTGAGTACTCCCCCCCCGTCCTAGCCGCCCGCCGGGGAGCCCAGGAGCCCCGGACGGAGCTTTTTTTAACTTTTTTTTGTATTTGCCTTCAAACGATAATCAAATCCACATTTGGATCAACACGATACTTCTATATCTATGTATAGGCGAAAGGAAAAAGTAACACATCACAATCGCCGAGAAAAAAGATGTAAAAAATAAGTGCAAGTATTTTCGTTTCTGACACACATTGAGGTACGACATGCAGGCGTCTGGATGTGTTAGTGTGTGTTCGTGTTGTGAGTGTTCGCTAGCGTATTTTTTGGCGTGTGTGAGTGCTTATGCAGGTACACGTGTGTTTAAGCAGTACGGACGGAGTGTTGTGTTTAAGCCCCGGACGGAGCTGCTACCTACCTCAGGCGGACACCACGCCCGCCTTCCGCTGTTTGGACACCTCCATCTGGTGCTTCTTGCTCTCAAAGTGCTGCGCGAACTGGGTCTCCGAGTTCATCGTCAGGTCGCACGGAAGGCAATAGAACTTCCCTGCCGGCCGCCGGGAAACCGCACGGTCAGAGCGGGGACCGGGTTTGTTTATTGGGGCTATAGGGCACGCCGACTACAAGACCATTTTGCGCCTACAAAGCGGGGGCAGGGTATACCACCTTTGGGACGCTAAGTCAAGGCTTTGTCATGTTTGGATCACCTATACCCGAACGCCCCCTACCGCACCTGAGGGCTCATCCCGTATCTCAGGACAATATCTCTCCTGCCTAAGGGCCTCCCCAACATCATTTCCTTGCTCTTTCTGTACCTGAAGGTGTTTTGTAAATGGAGTAGTCCCTACGGGGCCGCTTAGCCGCCGGTTCGGCAGTGGCTGTCCCTTTAGTCGCCTCAGCCGTGCTGGCCGCCGGCTCTGAAGTGGGAGAGAGGGGGGGGGGGCATGAGGCAGTGTAAGGGCAACATAATGGCTGCAGACGGAGGACTAATCAGAGCGAGATAGCGAATATAGTCATTTATAGCGGCTAATTTAAAGTTACAAACTAAAGCTGGCTAGGCTGAAAAGGCGTTCATGAAGGAGTTGAGAAAATGAATGAAAAAAGACAAAAATCTGGATGATTAAACTTAAAGTCATGTCCGAAAATACAGCCGTAAGACATCAGTTCCCTTGTACTAAAATGGTGTACTGCTGCAAGCAAGTCCGCGGTCCACGCATTCAGATTACAGTCGGGCCACACCACACACCCGTCATTCCAGGGCAATTCGACTCACTTTCGGCGAGCACGGGCAGCCCAAGTTTCTTAGCCTGCATCTTGTGACGGGCTCCTGTCATGTGAGTGTCCAGTTGCACCTGACAGGTGGCGGAAACGCCGCAGATCTGACAGTAGAACCTGACGGCACGGGGGAGCAGTGTTACAATCAGAAACGCAGGGCGGTCGTATTTGGGTTTTACAGTGAATAATACAGTACACACAGTACATAATATAACACAGAAACACAGTAAATAATAGTCGTTATAGATAATGTCTCTGAGTAAATATCCGATGATGGCGCTGGTATATGTTTTGCTCTAAGACCGGGAAAAGCGAATATCGACACTGGGATTCCACAGTCGTTCCGCGCCGACACTCACTTGCTCTGCGCGCCGCTGCCGGCTCCGACACTGGCCACTGCGGCGGCCGCGGGGGCGGCAGCGCCAGCGGGCTTCACACCAGCGGTCACCAGGTTAGCCGGCGACACCTGAAGGAGATGTACAGGTCAGACGCCGTTCCTGACCTACATATAGAGCCAGCGGCGTAACACTGCGCTACTTCCGTTACGGGGATGCTGAGCCACCTTGTGACCAGCCGCGGCTGAAAGCGATAGTCTAAAGTGGACAGAACTGCATAAGAGCAAGGAAAGACAAGGCGGGAGTGGTTACGGTGTTTACCCTCATCAAAGCTAACGAACAGTCCACAGCATTTACTAACAGGAATAATAAGGTGCAAAATAAAACATGCATTCAGCTCCCAGCCCGCGTGCGCCTTATCTGTCTCATTAAAAGATCTGTGAACTATATTTGCTGGTTAACGACATTCTATACGTTCGTTGCGCTTGCGCCGTAACACATGGAACTCAAAGCCTCGACCCAACTCGAATGAGAGCTGACCCAGCAGTTGCAGCCCTTCTCACCGGATATCCACGCCCAATCACCGCGGGTCCACCCGTACTTCTCCGCTCCCACACCCAAGCCCTGTCCCGCAGTGACCCTACGGCGGCCTCTCACCTGAACGGTAACCAGGTTCGAGCTGGCAGCGGCGGCGGCCGCTGGGGGCGCTGGCGCGGCGGGTGCGGGTCGCAGACCCCCGGTGACGGCGGCCGCCACAATCGGTCGGTGCTGGTACCGCTCGTGTTCCTGACCCGGCGGACTGGGGGGAGACGAAACAGAGGAAAGGGTGATGGGATGAGGGGACAATGTACTGACTGACAGTGTACTGTACTAAGATGTAGCGAGTTACTGGGGGGGGGGGGTAGGGGGGGGGAGACGAACAGAGCGCTGAGTGACGGGATGGAGGGACAATGTACTGAGCGAGTTACCGGGAAGAGACGAAACAGAGCACGGAGTGATGGCAATGTCGGGGCAGCATACTGAGTACAAATGAACATCGTAGGCTGAAGATGATGCTGGCACCTCATATGACGCCCAAAGGAAACTAACTAATGCAATGGCGACAAAAAGTTACACAGCAATTAGCACACGACTTCCCTTTCAAACTAAAACTGGCAAAGGAAAATCCAAATTATTCCAAAATAATATATCATCATGTCTTCCATCCAGGTCACGGACACGATCGGAACTTACTCCAGGCAGATTCTACTGGAACTATCTCAAAATACCCAACCAGAGCCCCCCCCCCCCTCATCCCCCCTCCCCGCGTCATCCCGTCTCCCACCCCGCCTCCGCCCTCTCTCCGTCACTCACAGCCTCTGCCAGCGGCCCGTGCGCGGGTTGAAGTAGCCCGTCTTCAGCGGCGGCTTCCCCTCCAGCTTACGCTGGTGGTTCTTGCCGGCGTAGTGCTGCGACGCGTGCTGCACGGAGGTGAAGCTAAGGTCGCACGTCTTGCAGTAGAGGTCCACCTTTGGAGTCTCCTGACAGGATAAAATGGGATGGTCAGAGTCATAGATACCGCGGCAACAAAATACAGACAGCAGAATCGGAACTCATTGCTAAATACTAGAGCAGCCGCCATACACCTATCAGGTCACACTGTAGAAAAGTTGCACATAACCTTATATTGAAACATATAAGCTCCTTGAGCTGAGCTCCAGTAGTGTACCATGAACTTCACGGCGTAAAAGACGTGCATAAAAATCACACATGGATGGTTTACCTTTACCATGTGCAACGTTCGTGTCGCCACAAGGGTCAGTCCACCCACTAAGTCACCCCGCCCTCTTATAGGTAATGATCACCCTCTTAGTCAGTCCGATAAGTCAGTCCGCCCCGTAGCCCCCCCCCCCCCTAGGGTCGCCGCTCAGCCCACCTGTTTATCGGCAGCACGCGGTATAGCCGGTGTGTCCTTCATCAGTGTGCGGGCCTTCTGCGGCGGCACCACGCGGTTTCGGCGGCAGTAGTCCTGCATGAACTGACGCAGGCGCTTCTTGTGGCACTTGCCGCTGTAGTGCATCGTCGACTGCAGGTTGCTCTCCATCTGGGGGACAGAGCGAGACGGTCAGCACGTGAGAAGGACTACAGAGGCTATATAGTCTGCGAGTTACTCTCCATCTGGAGGACAAACAAAGAAAGTGAGCACTGAGCAGGCCAGGGAATGTTACAGAGGATACACTGGAGGTCACTCTTTATCTGGGAGGGGCAGAGGACAATTAGCATGCGAGGACAGGGGATGCTGAAGAGGTGAATGGGATAAAACAAGACATTTTCTCTTTGAGGGATAGGCGATCCTGCCGACAAAATTGGAGGTCATTTTAGCAGTAAAACGACTTTATGAGCGACAAAAGAACAAGAGAAAATAGTCTAGAAAAATAATCTGTAGAAAAATGAGTTATCTGTAGAAAATGACCTACTGCCTACATGGCGCATTAACTGTTGTGACGATAAGACACTCATCATGCCCGGCAACTGGTGTAATAAGCGCTCCCCTTTTTTCAAAGTGCATCGATTCTAAATCTCTCCTTATTTCATCTTAAGTTTCCATTCATCCGAATCCACACAGGAATAGGACTGGCGGAGCTAGCCAAGGTCTCGCGCAGTCGCACATAGTTTTTCTTGTCTTTTAAAGAGCTTTATCTGAGTTTAAGTGCTTCTGCACTTGCTCGCTCGTTAAGTACTTACGTAATCAAGTCCGCCCTTTTCAGGTATAAAGATGTCTCGAGCCACGGGAAACTGTCGAAAAAAACGTGGAGTATTCGGTAATAATGACAGGAAAGATGTCTTACAGTCAAAATTGTGCAGCTCAAATTGATATTCACAACACAAAAACAGCGCAGTAAGCAAACACCTGTACAATATACCAGGACTACAGAAACGATTGATTTTTTGTGACTCCAACTTCGACTCCGTCTTCAAAATCGACTCCGATTCCGATTTCGACTCCAGCTCGATTCCATTAGTTGTTTTTAAAGTCCATATCATGAAAATGGTGTTCATGACAAATATGTTTTTATCCTGCCTGAAATGATTCTTTGCGCGTTCCAAGGCCATTGCAGATATACTTTATCAAAAACGTGCAGCTAAACTAAAACAGATTCTGGCGCAGCCGCACTTTTCTGACTTTTTTCGCTGAAAACGCTCATCCGAGACAGAAGTATGGCATTGGCTTCGACTTAACCTCAGCTTGTCGACAAGCGTAATATCATCAAGCAAACAAATGCAGGGCATGTCTTTGAGCTATGCATTGTAAGCCCCGACTCCGGAGTCGGAGTCGGTAAGATTTTTGAGACTCCGACTACGACTCCGGTCAGAACTGTCGCCTCCTGCCGACTCGACTCCGACTCCGACTCCAACTCCACAGTCCTGCAATACATATGTCAAATGAAATAAATGGAGGACACTAAAGACAAACGAACGTGGTTTAATTCTGTTCCATCAAATTGTCGGAACCGATTGCTGATAACATAAGCTGTGTGTCACACAAAGAGTGTGTCTCCCTGTGGGATGTACGTACCACGACTGAGCAGAGTTCGCACCGGTTCGGGAAGAACTTCTCCGTGACACTCTCCGGAAACGGGTGGTCCTCGCTCAGTGGGGTGTCCACTGAGGGCACAGCGAGGGTAAATGCATGGTCGTCAACACGAAAAATACACGTCTGATGAGCAGAGGGGATCGTTCAGAGCATTTATCTTCAGCTTCGTTTTCCCCAGAAGCTCGTATGATAAAGTATACCGCGAGCAGGCCAAAGGAGAAAAAACGCGGCTGCGGCAGCAACGAGTATTCACGCATCTCACGACATAGCCTCAAATGAATCACGTAATCTTATCAGGCGTCGTATTACAACCACAACCCTGGTGTTACGTGCGCTGTAGCCCCTCCAATGAGACTCCAAGCCCCAGCTCAGCAGTGTCCCCCAGCCCCTCACCGGTGGCAGTGCTGGCCGTGGCCGCCGCGCCGTCAGCAGTCTTGGCGGCGGTGGTGGCGGCCGCCGCCGGTGTCGCCCGTGTGCCTGTGGTGGTGGTAGTGGTGGTCTGTCCACCAGTAGCGGTAGTGGCAGCGGCCGGGCCGCCGTTCGGCACCGAGGCCGGCTTCTGTGGAGGGTACACAACTACCGTTCAAACGAGTTGAGGTACCGTAAACCAGAGCAACTTTGGTCCATCGGTGCAACTTTGGTCCACCATGGAAAAGATACTTTGCTGATTTTTTAAAAAATCCATCGTAATATTTGGGACATTTTTTCATGCAGGCAATTTAGCCCAATATGTGCCCTAACTATGTGTGAACAGACCTGCTTTTGTTATGTGACCTTGACAGCAGCAGAATTTTTATAATAAAAGCCTTGATTTTGGCGCAAAAAACAGAAGTTGCTAGGATGATGTAAGGAGCGGAACTGGTAAGAACTGGAGCGACACTGGCTATCTAGACAGTAAGTACATGAGTTCTCCAAAGGCTTAGAGGAAGAAAACCCCCATTTTCTTTTTATGGTCATTTTTTAGGGGTGGTGGTCAAAGTTGCAAGCACTTTTTCCGTCAAAATGCTACAACTTTGGTCCACCAGGAAATCATTCTTAGGAAGCTTCTCATCACTATAGCATACTTTTTTCGTCATTTATGACAGTCAATGCTGGAAGTTATTGATGTTGATAGTCGATTGGTTATGCTGCTGCGTCTATATTTCATTTTTAGCCCTCCAAATCCAGATTATTTCCCAGCCTGTTGTATTCCATACCTATCCAATATGATTTTTCCTGTTTCAGGTCCGAGTTGTGCCATACGATCCTTTGATCCTGCTTCACTGTTAATGCTATGGGAGGAGAAAGTGCAGGAAAGTCTAGAAAAAAAGTGGGAGGTCGTACCTATCAGAGGTACTCCTCATCTCATCCGCAAGCTCCAGCCTCCCATCCCGGTTGGCACCCGTGGACAATTCACCTTCATTTGTTAGAGAACTGTCAAGTGACTTCTGAAGGTGCTGAGTTTTGTGGTTCTTACTCCGCCGCTCATTTAAAAGCCAGAGTGCTCATGTGATTTTACTCCATCCAAAGCCCGGAACAGCCGTTCACTGTGAATCTGTTGCCCCATTGTAAACCAGTGTTTCTGTGATTGTTTTCAGCCAGTTGAAGTCCTGGTGTGTCAGGATATTTTTTAAAAGAACTTATGTGGACCAAAGATGCTCTGTAAAATACCATTTTATTCGTTAGCATTGAATAAAATAGGATTATAATCAGTGGTACAAAGTTGTAAAACCCCTCTACAACTTTGACCACTTGTTCAATAAAAAAATAAAATAACTCAAGATGCTAGCATTCTTTTACTCTAGAGCAAACTGTTGACAAAGGTTGTAGCTTCCACCTTGTAAAAAACTAGCCAGATTGGATTACAATTAAAAAAGATATTCAACAAAAACCTAAAAAGTGGTACAAAGTTGCTCTGGTTTACGGTAGTGTACAACGGTGCAATCAAACAAACGTCGCAACTTTCTCTATAGCCGAGGCAGACAGAGTGTGCAAAACTTCCTTATATATTTCTTATAACTCTGCACAGTCACGATGCATCATTCGAATAAATGGGCATCATGCTGCATAGAGGCTGGTAACTATGTCTTGTTACTTCTGGTCGTAGGTAGCTTTTCAATACATAATTGAACGTTAATGGTGTTGCTCAGCGGGTTAACAAGCCTTACCTCCAACACAGTCACCCTTGGCGATCCTACCAACAGAATTAATAGCAAAACAACAACGATTATGATCAACGAATCACCACAGCTACCTCTGCGCAGCCCAGCCAGCCACTCAACTCACCGCGGCACCGGCGGCCGGCGCTGTCTGCTGCCCGGTCTTCTCCGTCTTGACCTGTGGCTCGGTCTTAACCTGCGGCTCTACCTTGACCTGCGGCTCCGTCTTGACCTTCGTCTCCGTTTTCACCGTGGTATCCGCCTTGGCGGCCGTGCTGGTGGGCGTAGCGGCCGACGACGACTCCACGGTCTTCACGGGCGTGGCAGCCGAGCCGCCGCCGCCAGAGGCGCCGCCGCGGGTCCAGCCACCGCGGCCGCGGCCCCGCCAGCCGCCGCGCGGCGGCCGCGGCGGGCCGTACCCGCCGCCGTAGCCGTCGTACCCGGTGTAGTAGCTGTAGTAGTCGTCGTACCCGCCGCTGTAGTAGCCGCCGTAGTACGGCCGCGGCGCCGGCATGCCCGGAAAGTACGACATTGCGCTGCCGCTTAGAGCTGTGGCAACTCCGCTTCAGTCTGCTGAGTGAAAGAGATAATGTGAATGAGACAATTTAGTAATGGGCAACAACAATGTTTTCTTTGGGGCACAAATATCATTTCTAATGAAATATAATTGACGGAGCATCAACAGACTGCCAGTGGTGAGTCTAAAGGGGACTTGGGATGGTCGACTCCAGATAAAACTTCAGCAGTTAAGATTCCAAAGATCACCCAGCCCAGTCCCCACCTCAGACTCAATTATCTGAGGGCCACCAGTGACCAGGGCCCTGTTTCACCTGTGATAGCAGCACGCTGCTATCACACGTGTCAAATTGGGTTTCCATGGAAACATCAACAAGCCATGACGCCGTCAATCTGGTGTGATGTCATCAAATATTGCTGCTAACATCTTCACGGCTGCGCGATCAAACAAATGTTATCAAACGCATTCAACGAGACAGCAACTCTGTTCCAAACACAGCTCACGGATTACACGAAACGTCATTAGTGTGACATCACATTACGCCAGCTCGCGCAATTTGATAGTAGCGTGCTGCTATCACCGGTGAAACAGGGCCCAGGCATCACACGTGTCAGCTTAGGGGGCTTGGCATGGGTGTCAATTTCTGCTGAGTTGTGGGTGCCCAAGGCCCCAAGCTCTAGAAATCCGCTGCAAGACATTGGCCCATGCTGCCTGTTGTGACTGCAAAGCCAGGCCGGCATAGATTTGGGACTTCAGCTCAGGCACGTGCAACCCAGCAGAAATTGTTACCCCTGGGCCTCAGAATTTGGATGATCATTATGTACCCATTGATCAAACTTGTGACTCAAATGTAGAGTGTAGCAAGTGATGTTAGCATTGATTATGAGGTCTTGTCATCTTGCTTAACCCGCGCCCCGTAGGGCTACCGGCGGACCCTACCACCCGTAGGGGGGGGGGGGGCGTTTCGGCCCCCCCCCCTAAGATCTCGGAAAGTTACCGGCCGATTTTCAAAATTCAAACGGCGTTCGATAGCCCCATCCGGGAACTACCTTGTGACCAAATTTCATTGACCTAGGTCAAACCGATGACGTCACAGGTCAGGTCAAAGGTCAGATTTTCACCGTTCACAGGCAATTCAAGAAATGTGCTGTGAAAGCGAGTAAATTGGTAATTTATTGAAAACCATCGATGGTACATTGTTCGTCAAACACATACTTTGCTATCTGAGGTCACTGATACCAGGTCAGGTCACAGCGAGGTCAGGTCACCGGGGGTCACAATATGAATGTGTCATGTGATACATGTTTTATGGTCCATTTTACATGACAAATGCGATTATGTGGGTTAGGCAGCCTTTGGGGCCAGCCTAGGTCACGTTTTGGTGAAGGTCAGGTCAAGGTCAGGTCAAATTAGGTCAAATTTCAAAGTTGATATTTTTGCATAAAATGGGTATCGATTCGATGCAGCTCGTCACGGGGAGTCTAATGGTGGTCTTCGTTTTGCTCTACGAGTTTTAGAATTGCCAAAAATGGAGTTTGAAAATTTGACGTCATCATTCTTGAACAGTTTTTTCGCTATAACTTGGCCAAAAAACGAGGTATCGATCTGAAATTTGGTATGTAGATAGAAGACGGTAGGCACTATCACATATATTCCGGTTTTTTCGAAACTCAAAAAACTTTTTGGATTTTTTGGCGAATATATCCAAAAAAAATGCTTTTTTGATTTTGGGGGTCAAAACTCAAAAAGTTCAAAAATTCGAGATAGCAGTTTTGTAGCCCTGTCAATTCTACACCTTTTATGTCTTGATCATTTTTCTGTATCTTCAAAGCTGTAGTCCTGACAGGTCTTCTCGCGAAGGTCTTTTTTCGGTCGAAAATGACAGAACATGACGTCACTCTGACGTCATTTGTGGCCAACCTATCACGGCCTCTGGAAAAATTTTTGGTCACAATGTGTAAAATTGATGCCCGGAGGGGTCCTGAAAGTTTGGTGGCGATATCTCCAGCCGTTTAGGAGATATCGACCAAAAAGGACAGGGGGGGCCGTTTCGCCCCCCCCCCCACGGGGCGCGGGTTAAAAATTTCTTAATTTGCTCATTTATCTACACCAAAAATTTATTTGTCCATCCATACACCAAAAATTATTTGTGCATCCATGGCCCATTCGCCAAAATTTTGGTGCACAGATTACAGAGTTATGCCAGACGCTGCACCAAAATTTCAGCAACTCCACCTGTTACAACAGACACGGGACGACGGTGAAAACAGGGCGCCTGGGGCGATTTGATCAAGGTTCATGAAATTCAGTAGTCACATGTGACGCTTAGCATGTGGGGACTGAGGCACTGAGGGGGAGAAGTTCTAAATGTCACGTGACTAATATGCCCCCCAGCGCCCTGATTTCACCGGCGTCCCAGACACGTTGACGGTAGCATATATTTTTTGCAGTCTGGGTGCCTGGTACTAAAGCGCATAGGTAGGTACCAACCCGACTGGAAAAAATGCACGCTTTCGTCGAGAACTCGAGCGTAGTTGGGCGTTTGCGCCGAAATTTTTCGGCGTACTTCGGCGTAAATCGACGGCTTGCGCCGAAATTTTCGGCGTACTTCGGCGTAAATCGACGGTTTTCTCTATCTCTCTATCGCAAACGGCTCCGGAGCAGTCGCGAAAAACCCGTCAGAGGGTGGCACCAACCTCCCTCGGCCGGCGAGGGTTAAATGTCTTCGGAAGTTAAACATCTTAAATATCACTTATCTTGTCTCGTGTTCGTCTCAGGGTATTTAAGTCATGTTCAGTGAACCTGATTGTGACTCTCCCACGGCGGGAACAGTTCACCGATCGAGAGTGAGGTTATGGATTGTCGGATCCCCTAGTTCAGATAACGTATGCTATCGTTTGCGTATTGACCGTTGTGATTCCTGTATTTCCGGCGTGTGGTTTGCGAGCAGACGCTGGCAATCGGTCCCGCGTGGCCTGGTATCTGCCCGATCCCATCGGCCGTGCTTGCACCACGCCTGTTGAAGGCCCCGTCAGGCGTCAGTCACCGGCTGGGCACATACTGCTGATCAGAGCCGGGCAACAAAATAAAGGTTACGTTATGGAACATGCCAGTGAGTTTGTGAGTCAGGAGATTTTGTGATAGCGAACGCTGGTGCTCGGTCCCGCATGGCCTGCTGATGTCTATTGTCTGCCCGATCCCATCGACCGTGCCAACAACCGTCTGTAGACAGTAGTCACTGGAAGACAGCCACACACACACGCCAGCCCCCCCCCCTCGACGAAAAGTGCGTGGCTACAGCCTGCAGCCATCAGTAAGCCTTGAAAATTTTCGGCGCATGAAGCATGGCTTGGTAAAATAATTTCGGCGCATAAGCCCTTGCGCCGAAATTTCGGCGCATCACCTCCGCCGAGAACTTCAGCGTAGTGGAGGCATTTTTTCCAGTCGGGGGTACCAATTCTAGACCTTACAATATGAGATGCCAATAGACATTGCTCCTAGCTAAGTTGACTGCTATGCAAATTTCAATCCGAATTAATGAAATAAAGTGAGGATCATCGTTTTCCAATTCTCACCACTCCTACCTTACCTTACCTTACCTTACCTTACTTTGATCAGAATTTTGAAAGGCTCTTTGGCCTGTGGGGTACCGTTCTCATCGAGCTCGAGGCAACTTGAATGTCAAAACTCAGTCAGGCACTGAGTACCTGATGTTTGCCCAGTGGGCGTCCAGCCTGGATTTGAAGAGGTCTACAGAGGCAGCGCTCACGACCGAGAGGGGGAGACTATTCCAGTCGTTCACTACCCGCGCACCGAACGCTTGTCTTCTCGGTCTTGATTCGGCCCTCGGCTTCAGGAGTTTCCACGGGTGACCGCGGGTGCGCTGGACTGCTGCAAGAGTGAAGAAGTCCTCTGGAAGCAGGTCCATTCCGCCGTGGAGAACCTGGTACACTTGGATCATATCCCCGCGACGTCTTCGGTAGAATAGTGATGGAAGCTTCAGTGCCTCTAGTCGTTCCTCATATGGCAGGTGTCTGATAGAGCTGACTAAACGAGTGGCTCTCCGCTGAACACGTTCGATCAGGAGTTGGTCGGCTCGGTTAAAAGGACCCCAAGCAACATTACCATACTCTAAGTGGGGGCGAACAAGTGCTCTGTACAGCAGAGGGAGTGTAAAGTCGTCAATATGCTCGAACGATCGTCTGACAACCGCCAGGATCTGGTTCGCCTTTGCCGCCGCCGCCGCTGCTTGCTTTCTGAACTTGAGGTTAGGGTCCACGTGGATGCCCAGGTCGCGTACGGTTTCAGCCACTTGCAGGTTGACCCCTCGCATCGTGTACTGGAGTTGAGCGTTGTTGGTGCCTAGGTGAAGAACCTCGCATTTGTCCTGGTTGAAGGGAAGTTGCCATCTGTCAGACCAGGCCACCACAGCATCAATGTCGGCTTGCAGAGATGCCGCTTCCGAGGGTGCTGACACGCTGCGGTAGATTTTTGTGTCGTCCGCGAACATTTTCACCATGCAGTCGACGACAGCGGGCATATCGTTGATGAAAGCAAGGAACAGGAGCGGACCGAGGACCGAGCCTTGCGGCACTCCACTTGAGACGGCAGACCAGCCAGAGAGGTGACCGTTGACGGAGACTTGCTGCTTCCGATCGGAGAGAAAAGCATCGATCCATTGAAGAAGGTTGCCTGACACACCAAGACTACGAAGCTTCAATAGAAGGCGCTTGTGAGGGACCGCATCAAAGGCTTTACGAAAATCAAGGTAAACTGTATCAACTGGGCTCCCCTGCTCAATCATCTTACTCCAGTCGTCCAGTACCTCAATGAGTTGCGAGTTGCAGGACCTCCGTGGGCGGAACCCGTGCTGGTGCTTGGAGAGCTGGTCTGTTGAGCATAGGAAATCCATGAGTTCGTCCCGGATCAGTGATTCGAGGATTTTGCACGGGATCGACGTAAGACTGATGGGACGATAGTTACCAGGAGTTTGCTTGCTGCCTTTCTTGTGAATGGGAATGACCGTTGCCGCCTTCCAAGAGTCGGGAATAACGCCTTGATCGAGAGAGGCACGATAGATGGAGGCAAGTGGACCAGCTAGTGGCCGGGATGCGAGTTGCAAGAGCTTCGGGTGTATGCCGTCAGGGCCCGGTGCACAAGTCGTCTTCAGGGTCTCGAGCTTCCTCCTCACAGCCTCGGACGTGATCTGGATCGTCTCCAACGGACGGCCAGCGTACTGTGAGGGTGGTTCGGGAATCTGTGAGACGTCTTCGGCTGTAAAAACACTGCTAAAGAAGGCATTCAAGAGGTGCGCTTTCCCGAGATCATCGCTTACCACCAGCCCGGAGTCATCTTTGAGGTTTTCGAGCCTGGCTTTTGTTCGGATCCTAGTGTTGGAGCAGCGCCAAAAGGCTTTCGGGCATTCTTTGACGTTTCTGGCTAGGCTGATCTCCAGGTCCCTCCTCAGGTTTCTTGTCAACTTCCGTAACCGGTTTCTACACTGAGTGTACCTGGTGTAGTCAATGATATTCTTTGAACACACATATATTTTCCACAGCTCTTCTTTTCGTTTCTTCAGCCGTAGGGCCTGCCCATTTATGTAAATGTTCTTGCGATTACTTTTTCTCTTACTGGTGGGGAAACAGACATTGGCAGCTTTGAGCAAGGACTCGCACAGAAACGTATACTGCTCATCCACACTGTGGTCGTCGGCAGAGCTCCAGTCAACTTCCTCCACCAGGGCGATAAACCTTGCAGGGTTTCCTTTGAAATAGTTAGGGTGCTTCATGTGAGAGTTGTTGCGGGAAGAGTAGCAGAGCACATCAAATTGAAGAATGAGATGGTCACTTTTACCTAAGCCCGCTTCATACCTCAAGTTCTGCACCATGCCGTCCTCCAGTGTCAGAATAAGATCGAGGATGTTTGGTGTCTCACCAGTGCGGTAGCGTGTCGGTAGGGTCACCTTTTGAAAGAGGAAGCAATCGTTAAGAGCTTCCAGGAAAGCATGAGAATGGTCTTCGGCTGGGGCAGAGGAAAACAAATTTTCCCAATCAATATGTGGTAGGTTGAAGTCACCACAGACGAGAAAGTGGGATGGCATAGAAGCGCAGGCCATGCGCAAGAGCTGACATAGTTCATCAGTGCTCTCCTGCGGATGGTGTGATGGACTCCGATAGACACATCCAATCAGGAGCTTGTCGCAACCTTCCAGAGTAAGTTGTACCCAAACATTTTCAATGTAGGTGTTCAGGCCAAAAGATAGCTCTGAGACTTGCAGGTCATTCTTTACATAGATGCAAACACCTCGAAGGCTACTAGATCCTAGCTTGGGCTGGAGAGGGTCAAAGCTTGGATACATGGAGTAACCAGGCACATCCAAAAGTGCGAGAGAGATGGGAATTACTTGTGCTTTGGGTATGACCTCTGCAATTAGCATGACATCAGGTTCATCGCCAGCAATCTTCATGCATAGCTCATCCCTCTTATTTGGGAACTGGTCAGCATTAGTATATAAGACTTTCAGGCTCTTCTTCCAGTCCACTGTCGTCGCTCCAAGTCATATACTTTGAGCAGGTGTATTACCCCCGCCATTCTGTGTGGACAGAGCATTAGCCTGAGGGCCACTGTGAGTTGGATGGTCTCTGCTACACCCACTAGGGGGAACAGCCAGTCCACTCGTCCCAGCTTGCTCAGCCTGCACAACTTCCTGTGGGGTTGCTCGAGCAGGGATGTCTTCACAGCCTCCGCCCCCAGACAGAACAGCAGCACCTCCCGCTGCAGGACTGGGCAGCGCAGCCAGAGGGTCAACCTGGGAACCTGATTGAGCAGGATGGTCTCTGATACACCCGCTTGGGGGAACAGCCACTCCTCTCGTCCCAGCCCCCTTGGTCTGAGCAGCTTCCTGTGGGGGCAATTGAGTCGGATGGTCATTGTTTCTTCCCTCAGATAGGGCATTAGCTCCACCCATTGTGGAGCCTAGAGGAGGGTCAGCCTGGGGACTTGTTTGAGCAGGATGGTCTCTGCTACACCCACTTGGGGGAACAGCCACTCCTCTCACCCTGGCTCCCTTGATCTCCTTGGCATCACCCTGCAGAGTTTGAGCAGGAGGGACAATGATACTGTCATTTTGGGGGTTGGCCGGCCCCCTCAGGTCCACTGCATCAGACTGGGGGCGGATGACCCTAGAGTTGCCAGCTTCACCACTGTTGGGATGTAGAGCTGTGGTGTTTGTTGTTTCAGCTTGTATCCTGACAATCTTCCCACCTCTGATGGCCAAGTTTTGTTCACCTGCCCTTTTGCGGTTGTTAAGCTCTTCTCTCAGTTTCTTGTTCAGCTCTCTTTCCTTTCTGGTCAGGTCAGGTGAAACATATATGTTGACATACTTGTTGGAGTGGCGCAGTTGAGGGGCTAGTCTTAGGATGTCATGTTTTGCTGCTGGGTGCTCAAGCGTGACTATCAGCAGCCTTGCTTTATCTGAGACGCGTCTCCCTACACGGAATGAATTTGTCACCTCCACAATCAATTTCATTTCATCCTTGATCATTGTTTTGAACAGAAGAGAATCATTCCTTGCACGTTCACTCCTGCGTCGCGTTTTGTATATATAGCTCTATATGCTTTGGGCATAGTCAAGGCATATAAGCTTAAATATAGCCAAAGTATATAAAAGCTGATAAAAACGCTTAATAGCTTAACCAAGACCATTTCATGGATATCTATAGGAATCTCCACCTTCAAACCTTCAAGCTCAAGCTGAAGCGCTCAATTCTTGGCGCTCAATTACACCCCGCGTTCGATGTCTCTCGGACGACGAAGATTCTACGTCGTCCGGCCAATCCCGCCCAAGGTCAGCGGGGGCTCGGCTGCGGTTATGGAACGTGATTGGCCGGACGGCATAGAATCTTCGTCGTCCGAGAAACATCGAACGCGGGGACAATTATGCTGTTATGTGTCGGACTCGGTTGTATGTTTATTTGATATGTGAAAACACGTAAGAAGTCTGTATGTATAGCACACCATTTTGGATCTAATTTACGTCACTATTCCACCTGAAATAAAATCATGCAGGTGATATTTTCTTATTTGTGGGACTATTTTTGTGTAAATTGCAAGCCTTAAAAAATATTTCAAATTTTTCACATTTCTATTTTGTTTGCGCTTCTGGTTTGCACAGAAAACACATGTTTTTTCCAGCAATAATGGTGTAGTTTCCGAAAACTGATTACGTCATCATTTCACCAAAAAATATTTTAAGCATAATTGGAAATAATGGCGCATTAGAGACAAACCTAGGGCTGTTCACGGGCCCTGTGTGCGGTCGGAACGCACACAGCCTCGAAGCTCCGCCCACTGCGTCCCTACGTCAGCCTTCCGTCACCGCACACAGCGATCGCTGTGGCCGGTCGGGACTGGCCACAGCGGACCGTCCACCGCACGCAGCCGTGACGTCAGAACCGCCTACCCATCCCCTACCCCCACGCCTGCTGGACGCACCGCACACACCGCACGCAGCAGTGTGCGGTGCCCGTGAACACCCCTCCTGTGTTCCACATCAAACATATGGCTGATAATTTACCGTTTGCAGAAACTTCGTCACTGCATTGCATGGTGCTTCTGCAATTTTTCATCCAATTAAGATGATTCAAAATGTGAAATTTATTAAAAATTGTAAGCTTACACCTTGATCTTTATTTTATCTTCCGATTTTTGCTCGAAAAATGTGAACTACTTGAAAGTATCTATCTGCTGCTGGTGCTAACAGAACAGCTATTTTTCTAAGCCGGCTATCCATTGGGGTGTACGGGTGCACGTATGATAAATGATACCTAATGCTGTTTTTTAATATTTCTGTAAGTATAGAATATCTGAATCATTTTGTTACCTAGGCACCTAAGTAAAGTAACACTCCTGAACCTGAGCATTTCCTGGGTGCATTGCTCTGCATCAGTTATCAGTATGCTGCTGGTTTTCTTTGGTGAAATGTTCTGTTATTTATAGGTGGCACTCTGGACGCATTTATTCAAATTCAAAGTAAGCCGTGTGGTCAGGGACAATAAATCAACCTGAAAAATTATCAAAACATTCACTTGCCTCCAAAAAGTATGATAAGTGGCAATGTCTTTAGTACTGCCAAAAAGCCGCCGCAAAAAGGCACCTTGACCTATGGTTACCATCACGTATTGTGAACCATGAATTGCCGCCATCACAAAATGGCATTTTAGGTTATCATTTTCTGGAAATTTTCATCCTTACCTTAATTGAAAGACAACTAATGTAACCTAACTATGAAACCTAACACAATGAAAATATAATTGTGGTGGTGCCTAGGTTAAGTAGGAAGGTAGGTACCATTTTTTGTGTCTGCACTGAGCTTGTTGGTAGTGCAGGTGCCAGTGTCTTATGACATAGTGTAAACAATACTATAAGCAGTTTATTGTTCTCCCTTTTCCTGCCTATAATGGTCTGTTTCTTCCTTGGACATTTTTATATTGCTAGTTCCTGCAATGTTCAGGGTGGGCTAAAGGCAGCAAACGCAGGTGTAACCATTTTTGCTAACTAGCTGGAATCTGTTGTTCAATCTGGGCCTTTGCAACAGACACTACCGACTAACCTTGCATCTGAGCTGGCCTAAATTAGTCATTTGTGAAGACATTTGAGCTTTGATAAGTATAGGTATGCTTCATGAATGTCCTGATATTATAATTAGATTTTTAGGTAGGTACTAGGGCAATGAAGTTCATGTTTTTGGTGAAAGATAACCTCTTATGATATTGAGGGGATTTTTCTCAAAGTTGTTACCTATTATAAAAATGGAGACAAATTTAGGCTGTATTGTACATACCTCTTAAATGTTCCAATTAGAATAACATGGTGGGTTTAAGAAGTTCCTTTGCATAGTATCTTCACTGTAAAAGTCTGATACCTAGATGAATAAGTTTTTTGTGACACAGTGTTCTTTCAGTTTAGCATATGAATCTTTGAAGCAGATGAATGTGACATAACCAGCTGGCTGTTAATCAAGAAGTGAACACTATTCACCATGACTGCATCTGGGACACTTGTGTTGGACAATGGTGCATCCCTTCTCAAGGCCGGACTGGCCTCGCACAAGGACCCTCTCGTCATGCCCAATGCCATCATGAAGGCAAAGAGCGAGCGGCGTCGGCCATTCATCGGCAACCAGATCGACGAGTGTCGCGACGCCAGCGGCCTCTTCTACATCCTGGGCTTCCAGAAGGGCTACCTGGTCAACTGGGACGTGCAGAAGACGGTGTGGGACCACGTCTTTGGCAAGGACTGCCTGGGTCTGAACCTGAGCCGACTGAACGTGGTGGTGACGGAGCCGTTCTTCAACTTCCGCTCGGTGCAAGAGGCTATGAGTGAGATGATGTTCGAGGAGTACGACGTGGCGGGCCTGCTGCGCGCCAACGCCGGCGACCTGTGCGTGGCCGCCGAGCCGGCGCGGCCCGATAACCTCTGCTGCCTGCTGGTGGACGCCGGCTACAGTTTCACCCACGTGGTGCCCTACATCCAGGGCAAGAAGCGCCGGGAGGCCATCCGCAGGATCGACGTCGGCGGCAAGGTGCTGACCAACCACCTGAAGGAGATCATCTCCTACCGACAGCTGCACGTCATGGACGAGACGTACGTCATGAACCAGCTCAAGGAGGACTGCTGCTTCGTCAGCCAGGACTGGCGGCGCGACATGAAGCAGGCCGCCCTCCCGCCGGCCGACAACCCCATCCTGCGCCACTACGTGCTACCTGACTTCACCAGCCTGCGGCGCGGCTACATGAAGCCGCGCGACTCGGCCGCCGCGCCGGCCGCCGAGGGGGAGCAGCTGATCCGGCTCACCAACGAGCGGTTCTCGGTGCCCGAGCTGCTCTTCCATCCCTCGGACGTCGGTATTCAGCAGATGGGCATCCCAGAGGCGATCGTCGAGGCGGTGTCGGCGTGCCCGCCCGAGACGTGGCCGCACCTGTACCGCAACATCCGATTGGTGGGCGGCAGCAGCCGCTTCCCCGGCTTCAGGGACCGCGTGTACGCAGAGGTGCGCGCCCTGGCGCCCGACGAGCTGCCCGTGAAGGTCACCCAGCCCGAGGACTCGGTGACGTGCGCGTGGCGCGCTGGTGCCAAACTGGCCGGAGAATCCCGGTTCAGTAGCCGGCTGGTGACCCGAGCCCAGTGGGAGGAGCACGGCTTCAATATCTGTTTGGACACGTTTGATGTGTGACGTCCGTCTGTTTGAAATGATGCGTTGACTGCTCTGTTGTGTTGGTGTGGTGTGTGGTGGATGAGCATGCGTTGGTGACGAGACAAGGGCCCCAGTCACGCGCTTCGCCGAACCTGGGCAATCTGAGTGAGTTGGCGCTTTTGCGAACGGTGCGTGAGCGCATCACGCGCTTTGTCGCGCGTCATCCGGTGCGCGGCGGCCTCGAGTGTCCGCTCGCGTGATAATTCGGCGTCCCTTCGCGCGTATTAAGTGGATTGTCGCAGGTCGAGGGGCGTATCTCGCTCACTGCCATTCGATCGCGAATCTCGAGTTTGTGTCATGTGTTTTCATAGTTCATACCACTTCATCGCCGGACATGGAGTCACGCGTTGTCGGACCGTACCGTCATCATCGAATGTGGACATCAGCCACGTGCCAGAAGGTTGGCACGTGTCGCCTTGTGCCGCGGCTGAGGCGGCACGTGCATGTCGTGAGTGACTCGCATCATAATATCTGCTGCTCTAGTATCCCGGCCAGCACTTCGGAGAAATGATGGGCCCTGCCGACGTTGGACGTGAAGCCGCTCATTCCACTGTGACATATTGGTATTTTTACCATCATACTGTGTCGTTTTGTAATGAAACATTGTTAAAAACGTTTGTCTTTTCGGCTCGAACTGAATAGATGCATGATCAACAGATGTCCTGTTCATCGCTCGATTAGGTACTCGTCACATTGCGGTGGTCTAACGTTGACACAAGCCATAATTTGAAGTTTAAACACAAGTAAATTCCATACATGTATTATATAATCACAATATAGAGGATATATAATATGGTAACGCGCAACAATGATATAACAATACTGTAAATATATGTGTGTCGGGTTATCACCGCCCACCTGATTCGAATGCGGCTAGCATTGCACATCCAGAGCGGCTGGCCATGCATGAGCAGGTGTGTGTGATGCACAGTGAACACAGTTGCAAGCATTGCACACTATCTCGCATGTATAGCACACAGCACAGCTCACCAGCCGAACACAGCGTACATCGCAATACCCATTGCACTGCGTTCGACATTGCCGCGTAAAGCAACGAACACACATGAACACTGCTGGCGCAAAACGCGCGTCACAGAAAAGTCCAATGTAAAACTGAAGCCATGAGTATATGACTGGCTAACCAGTCGATACAGCCAATATATAGCCGACCAGCTAGCTAACCTAAACGGGAATAACAAGAACTTTAAGCAAACATCGAACGGGAGCAGGTTACAAAGCACTGGCGGTCGCAGCCGCTAGCAAAAGGGGGGGCCAAACTCACACTCGCGGGGCATAACATTTATCCGTCACCGCAGGGCCTCGTCTAAGGAATTTTCACTGGGGGGGCAGAGACTGAAGGAGCCAAACCTAGGGTACCCCCAAATCCTGTTTTCTCACCGGATTTAGGCCACTTGTTTTTCGTCACAGCCCTGAGACCATGATTTTTTAACAATTTTATTTTTTTAATGTGATTTTTTATCCCGCGCCGGGCATGGGGATTTTTGAACACCCCCCGCGGTTTTTCGCAGATATCTAAGAAACGGCGGCGTGGAGCGCCGCCGTTTTTGGCACACCTGTTCATGCATCTGTTCCGCACGTGTTGTGAAAATTTCAGACCCAGGTCACTCAAGGTCAGGTCACCAGGTCACGTCAAGTGACCTCACCTGAGAAAAAAGTTAGAATCCTCGCCATAGCTGCACCGACCGAACGATCACCTTAAAACTTTCAGCAATTGATGAGAGTAACAGTATATACAAAATGTATATCTCGGAATTTTGATATCGGTGACCTAAGGTCAGGTCAATTTTGCGACCTCTCTATTATACCTAAGTCAATAGGAGAAAATTGAAAGGCGCCTTTTTGGACGAACGTCATTCCAAACACTCCCAAGCATTGTGTTACAGGTAAACTCGACAAGCTGAACCGAAAATGGCACCCGTGACCTCTCCTTATGACCCTGAGGTCATATCAGGTCATAAAAGGTCCCATGAGTTTTTTTTTTACAATAACTTTTGATAGACATGCTATAGCGATGAAAACACCTCAGATGTGTTCCGCTCGGCGATACGGATCGACTGATATGCAACATGACCTTTTCCGGTCAGGTCATGACCTTGACCTGAGGTCAAATTTTCAAAATACCTTTCAACGTCAACCCAGTAAAAAATACCATTAGAAATTACCAAATGGTTCCAAATGGGAAAAACCATTTGACTTATTGAACACTTTTCCAAATGGTTCCAAAGAGGTTCCATTTGAAATGTGTCCAATTGGCCACCAATTGGTACCAATTGGAACCATTTCATGACCATTTGAAATGTGTCCAATTAGTCACCAATTGGTACCAATCGGACACATTTCAAATGGTCATGAAATGGTTCCAATTGGTACCAATTGGTGGCCAATTGGCCACATTTCAAATGGAACCTCTTTGGAACCATTTGGAAAAGTGTTCAATAAGTCAAATGGTTTTTCTCATTTGGAACCATTTGGTAATTTCTAATGGTATTTTTTACTGGGCAGCTGGATTACCATTTGAAGATCCTTTTGAAGTCCATGCATTTCATCCACAAAATAACAAACTGCAGCGTGAATTATTTTTATTGTTTTACTCTGCAAGCATATACATTTTCATCAGTACGTACCTACCAACATTAGACATTAACTACACATGGACATTGTTGTTTGGTCAACACCATATCGATGAGGCGATTGCTATCAGAATCAAGAACAGAATTACAATGTAGTTATACACTGGGCCATACGTACGCTATTCCACATAGGCACAATGAACGACGTGATACAATATCATTCCGATCGGTGATACTGTCTGTTGTTCTGACAGATAGATTTCTTAATCTTCCGTGGCGATCAGAATTTTCAGAAGTCAGAACGTAGCTATAATGCGGGCACGCAGCCCATCTGGACCCGTGTAGAGCCGGTAGACGGCATCTGTCCGGTGCAAGTTCGTGCCTGCAACAGTACAGGACAGCACGGGTTAATTGGGCGATGGGATCAAATTAATTACCAGACACAATATAATAACTTTAAGCTCATGCAACTTGCATTGTCATTTAGGCAGCCTGACCACAACAAATATGGCACTGACAATTTTCTGCTGGCAAAATAAATTGTGATAACAAATTTTTAGCCTCTTTCTCACCTCTGTTAAACTCAGTACTTACAAAGATGCCAAATGCAACCAAATTTATTCAAATAACTATTTTCAGTATTTGCAGTCGACTAAAACGAATATCGCATACAGCTGCACAAGAAAAGTCACTCACCAGCCGCGTGATTCTGCTCAGCTTCCTCTTTTACAGCAGGACTGGGTCCCGGTCGACCGCGGGCAGGCCCAGCGAACGCGAAACCTGCGCGAAACCCGGTGGCGCGCCGGCCGGGCGGCCGACGTCGACGCCCGATTTGAACTGTGGCGCCGGCGCGGCCGGCCGGCGGCAACGGTCGGGCGCCGGCAGCGTAGGCACACAGAGAAAAAGTAGTGCTGTTTAAATGAGCGGAAACGGCGTGAATTTTGCGAATCATTTTTATTTAATGAAAAACCAAGGCCTTGTAGTGATGCTTATCAAGTACAACCAGTCAAAGGTCATCCCATTACCTCTAAGTCTATTATTTAAGTATATGTTTAAAAACCATTAGAAACCATTAGGGTACCAATTGGGAACTAATAGATACCCAGTCCGTATTCAAAACACACTTGAAACCATTAGAGACCATCAAGGTAGAAACACTTTTGAAGCATACTTGTCACACATCTGGAAACAGGGCTGCAAAGTGGTGGATTTATGACTCTAACTCCGACTCTGACTCCAAAATTGACTCCAGCTCTGCCGTCCAAAGGCAAAAACACATGTCGGGTCATGACCTGACCCGACATATGCGGTTTTGCCTTTGGACGGCAGAGCTCCGACTACGGTTCGGACTTTGCTTTTATTCATCTCATGGAATAAAAGTTATTGCCATATAAGTATGTTTTTCTTGCCTAAAACGACCCTTGAATGTTTTTCAAATGCATTTTTCATTTCGACACCAGTTGAAATAGAATGAGAGACACCATTTCAAAACAGATTTGCTTTTCCATTTGGGAACCATTTCGACACCAATTGGGATGAAATGGGACAACCATTTGGGATGAAATGGTTTTCTTCCATTTGGAGACCAATTGGACACCAATTGGGATCAAATGGGAAAAACCATTTGAGATCAAATGGGAAAAACCATTTGAGATCAAATGGGAGTTTCAAATGGAAACCATTAGATACCAAATGGGATCAAATGGGACACACCATTTGGGATGAAATGGTTTATCCCATTTGGAACCAATTGGTATCAAATGGAAAGCACCATTTCAGACCAATTGGGAAGTTACCAATTGGAAACCATCTCGATACCATTTGGGGACATACCATTTGGTATCAAATGGAAAACACCATTTCAGACCAATTGGGAAATTACCAATTGGAAACCATTTCGATACCAATTGGGACCAAATGGGACACACCATTTGGAATGAAATGGTTTTATTCCATTTGGAGCCAATTGGTATCAAATGGAAAGCACCATTTCAGACCAATTGGGAAGTTACCAATTGGAAACCATCTCCATACCAATTGGGGACATACCATTTGGGATCAAATGGAAAACACCATTTCAGACCAATTGGGAAATTACCAATTGGAAACCATTTCGATACCAATTGGGACCAAATGGGACACACCATTTGGAATGAAATGGTTTTTATTCCATTTGGAACCAATTGGGATCAAATGGAAAACACCATTTGAAATCAAATGGGATTTATTTTCCATTAGGAAACCATTTCAAAACCAATTGGGACCAAATGGAAAACACCATTTCAGACCAATTGGGAAATTACCAATTGGAAACCATTTCAAATGGTCATAAAAACCATTAGAACCTATTTCAAACCATTTGACACATTTGAAACCAATTGGTAAATCCTAATGGTTTCAAATGGTATTTTTTACTGGGAAACTATAGTTCATTCGACGCGTCTCGACAAGAGGAACGCGATGCTTTCAAAATAAATGTCACTTCCTTGAGTCAAAAGTTATTGCAGAAAAGCGTTTTTCATAACAACGGGTATTTTTTAGATTTTGGCCTCTGGAGGCTAAACCGTTGACCTGAGGTCAAATCTGAGGACACACCGGCGAAAGAGCGTTAAAAGAGCTATCGAATGGGCTTTTCCTCGGCGCTTTAACTCTATCGGTTCCAGAGTTAGCTGTTGGCAGTTTCCAAAATTGTTGAAATGGGCGAAATTTGACCTTTGATGACCTCTGGCGTCGGCGATATCAACTTTGACCTTCCTAAAAACATGACTGAAGTGTTTCCGTCATTATTTTTGACGCTCTTTCGAATGCCGCTTAATGCGTGTCACTACGTTGTCCCAGGAGCGGAGTTAGAAGGGGGGGATTCAGACACCCCCGGTCCGGCGCGGAAGTCGCGGAGCACCGGCCCGGCGCGGGTTAACATTGTATTACCCCCTCACCAGACAGTGATAAACATACTTATCCGTGTTGGGCGTTTGATTGAGTGTGTGTGTGGGGGGGGGGGGGCAAACACGAGTTGGGTCACTGGCCAGCTCTGCTAATTGACAATTTGCTAATTGGCGCTCTCAGCTCTGAAAATCACAAAACTCTGGCTTTTCCCGTAGCCATGAACAGTTATTGAACAAATCATTTAATGTTTCTCGTTAAATCCATGTAAGACTCCTAGCAAAACGTATTGCCGATAAGGTAATTTTGTGAGAAGTTCACGTGTTGACTGGGGGGGGGGGGCAAATGGTGGCCACTGGGGGGGGGGGGCAAACCGCTCGACTGGGGAGGCAATTGCCCCCCCCAGTTAACATGTTAGACGAGGCCCTGCGTCACCGGAGGGTGATCGGCTCAATTTTTACGTCCACGAGGCGCCGCGCAGTTGGCCATACTTATGCTTCATCCATCTCGTTCTTGCGTGCAATCTTTAAGCTCAATCTAAGGCAAAATCACCAGTTCCATTTCTCGTCCCACGGTGTTTCCACCGGTCGGGCCACTGCACCATGGCGACGGATCGGTGTAGCATATACTGGAAGGTCGGGCACGCGGATTCATGACCTTACCACTATAAAACAATTCGGAAAAGTACGTACAGATACCTACCTCTTGCTTTGAACAAGCATGTGAAACCCAGAGAGCATTTTCAGACTATGACATTTACTCATATACGAGTAGTTGTGTGGCGGCGGGAGAGAGTGGGTACACCGACCTCTAGAGACCAAAGGTTCCTGGCTTTCAAAATTGGCATCTGAGGGCCGCGCGCGACTCCTGCGGGCTTCGCAACGGCTCTATTGGGGCTCACTCAAATGCCTAGTCCTCATGCTAAAAAGACTGGCCCTGAGCCCTGAGGACTTCGTCAGTCTCTGCCAGCCCCAGGACCCACAACGGCTCATGGGGTCCCGACGTCGAAATATGAGGGAATCTACGCGGGACCATCAGGACGTAAAGTGATCTCGATCAGGACCAACGTAAGGCTGTGCAGGAGTCTGCGTAAGCCCTCTGAGCTTCAGAAGCCCACCCATGTATGTTTTCACTTAGAGGCCAGTTTAAGGCCCTCAGAGACCAGTACAGGGCCTGCAAACTGCAAAGGCCAGTAGTTTGAGACCATCAGAGACCGAGTTGGGCTCTCAGAGGCTAATGTGGGTCCTTACTCATTACAGGCCAACATGGGGCCCTCAGAGGTCAGCGTGGGGCTCTAAAAGACCGGCATGAGCCGTCGTTGGACCCCAGAGGCCAGCAGAGGGCCCTCAAAGGCCAAGATGGGCCTTCCTCAGAGGCCAATACAGGCCCTTAGAGGCCGGCATCAGGTCTTTAGCAGCCAGTGCGGGGCCCTCATTGGCACCTAAAGGTTCGTCTTGGGACACCAGAGACAGAAATAAGGCCACGAGAGACCAGTGTGAGACGCTCAGACGCCGGTTGGGGCCCCTGAGGCCGGTTAGGGGCCCTCATAGGCCAGATGTGGGGCTTCAGAGGTCGATGTGGGCTCTTGGCGGCCAACATGGGCGCTTGACCGCCACTGAAGTTCTCTAAGAGGTCAGTGTAGGACACTCAAAGACCGGTGTGGGAGCTATATTAATAGCTGGGAGTGGTTTTTTTTAGGCCTCGTGACGATCGAATAAGGGCCAGGGCCCCATACACCTATGGGGGCCCATCGGTTGTTTGAGGGGGGGCAATGATATGATAGCCCTCTTTATTGGCCTTTGGGGGGCATGGCCCTGATGTCCCCCCCCCCCGCGACCGCCACTGTGTACACATTACACACAGGCCTCTGAGATTGCATACCTACTAGCTCATGCAAACTCTATGCAGGCCCCGGAGGTCCCACGCTAATCTTTAAGAAACCAAGCCAGCATACGGCGTCACCACCGGGCTTCTGAGGTGCGCAGCATCAACCCATGAGGTCTTACTTTAGCATGTCGAAGAGCCACGCTCATTTGGCAGGGCCCACCCGGCACTGCCGAAGAGGGTTTCATGCCAGCCATTGCTGGGCATACGAGAGCCTCAAGTAAACCCACGCTGATATTCCATATAAGATCCGGCCATACTCGTGAATCGGTGCCAGCGACGCTGACCGCAAAATTGACAGAATGCGAAACTGAGCCCACTCCATGAGTGAAATTTACGTCCTTTGATGGCGCAAGAAAGAAAATGAAACATACAAAAAGCTTTCTAGGACTTTTGTTCGATCTGAAAGGTGGGGCCAAAAGATAGTATGGCCCCACCTTTCAGCACCAAAGGGGGGGCCATGGCCCCCGTGGCCCCCCCCCCCTGGGACCGCCAGTGTTACAAAGTAAAACAAAGAACCGATAAGCCGGACATGGTCGGTCGGTGTACTGTTTTAGTTCAGTTGCATTCCACGGGCTAGGCTTCACGCCTAGCGTTTGAGACCTTTGGTTCAATCTGACCACAGAGTCTTCTATCTTCACCACAGGTACAGAACGGGGGGCCGCATCCCTAACAATCGCCTAATTCACATGTAAGCTAATACATTGACGTACATCACATCTCCCGCCGTTCTCCCTCGCCCCCGGGTCAGTGAGCGCTCTCTGCGGCCCCTTCAGTCGCTTACGTCTCCTCTGCGGTCGGCTCGTATCCCTCGTTGGACTCGCCATCCTTCTGGATGGAGCCGGCGCGGGCGGACTCTTCCTGGGCGATCCTCAGGTCACGGCGCAGCGAGAACAGTGCCAGGAGGTAGAGCAGCGCGCCCAGGATGTACTCGCCAGGGTAGAACAGGTACAGCGTGTCTGCGGGAGGGGAGAGGGTTACTCAGAATATGGCGTAGAAAACAGCGCGATCAGAAAGACTGCTGGGTAACTCATTGATGCTCATGCCTACTGCCAGCACAACGGGAGGTTATTATCTTCGTAAAAATGGGAATGCGGCCGTAACTCAAATATGAGCATTACTAACCTCCACACAGCCTCGTCCGGACACACAAGTTTTCTCTCATCCTCTCTCCTCCCTCCCTCCCATAGTCCTCACTGTTCACTTCACCAGTCACTGCGTCCCACACCGGGCGTCCAGCTGACCACACCATCCTCTCCCCCTCTCCGCACGCCCCCGCGGCCGTGAGTCGGGGCCGCTCCGCCGGCCAACCTACCTCGGAGGGCGTCGATCTCGGAGTTGCCGGCGTTCTTGAAGGCCTGCTTGACGGGGTCGACCAGCAGCGGCATGTTGCCGCCGACGTTCGAGATGACGAAGAAATAGAAGGCGACGGCGGCCGTGCGGATCTCGGCCGGCACCAGCTCCACGAGAACGGCCAGCGTGATCGGGATCCACATCTCACCTAAGGAGGGGGGGGGGGGTTCTCAGTACAGCTAGTATACAGACACTAGGAAACACCGTGCAGATGCATGGTACCGGGGACTAAGCTAGTGGCTGTCGCTGTCAGCCCAGTCAAGAGCATGACAAAAAGGGCTCATGATAAGCTCATGAAAAGTTCGGTTAGGGCTGCAGAAAGAAGCATATGTTTGTGATTAACGCCAACGAGGAAAATTAGACCGTCTGGCTGCACAACGAATTTTGCATGGTCTTCAAGAAAACAGCTCCAAACGTCCTATAACCCCGACACCCAAGCAAGTAAAATGCGAACACTCATGAAGTAGCTTGCCCGAAACGACGTCAAAAGTCTCGCCGGGACGACTCACCGATAATGTAGACGGGGATGAGGCTGATGTAGGCCCAGGGCGGCTCGACGAACAGCACGCAGAAGACGAACGGCGCCGCCAGCAGTTGGCTGATGATGATGACCCAGACGCGGCCGTGGGGGCCGACCCGGCTGACCACCCGGTCAGAGATGAAACCGCCAAACACCACACCTGTGCGAGAGGTCACAGGTCAGGACAGGCCGGCCGGGCAACGGGGGTGGGGGATGGTCAGGTGGAAGCGACTGGGGAATTGGTGAGGTGCAGATATTACGTGAAATGGCTTATGTGACACATTAAAAAAGACATTAATCTACGATTGTTGCCGAGATCCTACCATAGCAATGAAGATATCGAAATCGAATGACAACGCACATACGATTCCATGAACATTATTGTGCACTACGCTCCGTGGAAATCATAAATTAATTACAAAACGACGAGGGGAAAATACTGTTTACAGAAAAAGACAGCCTCTCATTTAATCGTTGAAATAAGCCGTATAAGAACGTGTAACTGTCTTCTAGACCGCCACAGCCCCTAGCCGTGCGCGACTGACCGATGGAGCCGGCGACCAGCGGGATCCAGGACATGTAGGCACCGATCTGGGTAGACGTCTGGCCGATGCCCTCGAAGAAAGTCTGCGTGCTGTACGACCACACGTACCCGGCTGCACAGAGTGAAAGGGAAAAGTCAGTATCGGGGACGGAAATCAAGGACCGAATCGTGAAAACAGCACTGCCAATAAACTGACTATTTTAATGAAATAAAATGCTTCAGCAAAATAAATACTTCCCAAACCGATAACTCTGAGACATTTGGAAGCATTGTTGAAATTACAGAGTCCCATTAAGTGTTAAAAAAATGATCATATGAATCATGCAGCGTTCAAAATCATCAATGGATAAAGAACTTCGATACCATTTTGCATTTAAAGATTCACCGAGCACTTGCGACGCAAAACGAAATCACCGCATCCCAACAGCAACCCCTCTCAGCCACATATCAACTCTTCTGTTTTGAGGTGAAACGTCTGTGTAGCACCACCTAATACAAGTGCCGGTCATAACCAGACTTTCTCCCTCGCTCCTCTCTAGCCACCCACCGGCGTTCCTGATGGCGCCGGCAAAGCAGAGCAGGAACAGGGACGGTCGGAAGAAGAGCCGCATCATCTCTGGCAGACGCTGGACGAAGGTCTTCTGACGCGCCGCGGCGCGGCTCTCGTCAGTCACACCGGCCCGCAGTGGCTCCTTCAGTGTGAAGATCATCAGAATGCCGAGAAGGATACCGGGCCCGCCAGAGATGAAGTAGGACCACCGCCAGCCCTGTATGAGGAGGAGAGTTACAATACGAGATGAGGAACAAGGAGACCGGTGTGGGATGGCGCAAACGCTAACAGAGGTCGGCTGTCTGATCGTTGTAGACCTTGGACCACTTTTGGCACTTCTTGGTGTTGTTAAAACTGCAACTCATTACTGTGATCCCTTTTTTACACCAAAACAATTCTGTTGAATGTATGTACCTGCGACAACACCCGTGATCAAAATACAAGGAAACCAAATAAATATACAATTGCCCACTCAATAATAACGCATTCATGATTAAAGACTAAGATACAACGTACGAAACGCCCTACAAGCAGCAAGCATTTGTTGATTCAGTCTTGCCATATCAGGCGAATTAAATATAGCAAAAGGCTTAGCGTTCTTTCCATCTGCTTCATGCCATCCGACTGACTGAACATATCCATTTCTATGATGTTGAGAGCCTATTTTAACCATGTCACCGCTTACCATTTAATTACACGGCTGACTAACCATGTCCATGATGTTGGCGTCCGTGATGAAGTTGCCGATGGCGTAGGCCATGGAGTAGCCGAAGTAGATGCCCCAGTTGTAGACGCCCAGCGCGGTGCCTCGCAGCTCGGGGATGAAGTAGTCGGCCAGCAGAGAGGTGGCGAACGGCGTGCATCCGGCCTCTCTGGCGACGGGAAGACACGGACGGGGTCATGGCGGGTGCACATAAATTGCCAACAGAGGAGGAACAGGGTCGCCTCTCCGGTGGATTGTTTCAGCTACGAGACTACTCGTACATGACTACTGGATTACAGCCCACTTGTTACATGAAGAAATATAAATACTGATGGTGTCATTCAAGGAGGTGCAGCGAAGTCGCAAACTGGCTGAGTTAGAAACTACGGAGTATTTCTGACAATAGACACTAGGTCGATAACACGACGCGAACAATTTAACGACCTTCCAGTGTATCTACATCGACGTTGAGCAAAGTAAGTAGTCAAATACATCTCAAGTCTTTTAAAGATACCGTTCATTTTCCAATGGTTTGAACGTAAAATATGTTTTAAAGTAGGAATGGAGTGGCTGGACCGAAAATTGATGAACCGAAAAGAGGGTAAACCGGTCAAACTGATCACCTCTTTAATTAATCGAAGAATTAGCAGTGCGGAAAGAAAACCCCACGACTAGGTCGATAAGATTTCGGTCGACGGCATTAACACATAGATTTCCAGTTTCCACCGTCGTCCGTAGATATCGTGAAGATCAGCAGAGAGCAAGGACGATAAATTATTTGCTTGTCTGAAGCCGAGACTCGTTACGTAACTACTGAAGCCGACCGGTTACATAACAAGCAATCCTTAAAATAGCAGGCAACTGCAGGCCAAATAAGAATACAAAAACAAATGATCAACCAGCAATAATAGATATAGGCTTTGACATTTTATGTTGACAGTTTTATGGCGGCGCATTGAAGTGCATACCTAACCATTGAATAACTGCACTAAGTACATACTGTATAATTCCACTAGTTCAGACAAGTACAATGTCTACGTCCCCTGAAATTACCGAGTTCAAATTGTCCCGTCACGGTACACAGAGGCCTATCGAGAGGGAGGCACTTGACCCAGCTGCCGATCGGCCGTCCTTGTCCCTATCTAAGAGGTTGGTACACCTCTGTGACGCTCCGACACCCGCCCCCGCCGTCAAGGGCTCTCCTCGGCCGAGCACATGCGATAGCTACCCGCCGATCGGCCGCGTGTTTCCCGAATTACGGCGACCCAGGAGACAGCCAAATAATGGCCAGTCAGCGTGCTCCAGACCAACGGCCTGTTCAGCTAGTCATGGTCCTGGCTATAGTTGCCGGCGGAAAGCGCGTGCACTAGGACACTATTGACCTCTGAGCCCCCGCCCCCGCCCCCGCCCGTCCCGTCCGAACACGTGCCGGAGCCACTATCAGACGCTGTGGCGTCATCAGAAGGACAGGGTACGACGCACAGCAGCCGCCAATCAACGAGACAAGGCCGGGGTGGCTGCACTGAGCCGCAGGGGTTCCACGTGCATCTGGCACGAGACGGCGGCGTGTATCACCTCGCATTGCACAAGGCACTTGCTAACACGAAAATGGGAGGGAGACTCCGTAATACAGCATAACACCAAACCATATCGACATTACTAAAAACTTTTTTTTTTACAGTTTCAAGGCAGTAAAAAATCATAACAGTGAAAAGAAATCATCACTTGGTCATCAAACTGCGGCTCAACGGAGATGGCAGTACGTGGCCGCTGACGCGCGTCGTGCCCGAACACTCACCCGAATCCGATGCCGAATCGAAGCACGGCCAGCTCCCAGTACTCCTCAGCGAAGCCAGTCAGGAACGTACAGGTAGACCAGAGGATGAGCGCTCCGGCCAGCAGCAGCTGCGGGGAAACAAACGGGGACGGGAACAGTGAGTTAGTGAGTGGTGAGTGAGCGAGCGAATGGATAAACGAATGAACGATAAATGAATATGTGACTGATTGACTGAATGAATGAATACATGAATGAATGAATAAATAAATGAATGAATAAATAAATAAATATGCAAAAGAATGAATGGGTGGACGAAGCAATGGATAAATTAATGAATAAAGTAACCCATAAGCGAACTAAGAAGCGAACAACCTAATAAATGACTAAGATCTTGAAGGAAATAATCGCTTAACGTTATTTCTACAATACTTGTAATGCAGCAGTAGCCTAGCGCCTCCACCATTGCGCACAAATCGCCCTCTGCTCCCGGCAGACCCGTGTGTTCTCGCGTACCTTTCTGTTGTAGAGATCGGCGGCCAGACCCATGGGGATGCCGGCGAACGTGTAGATCAGGATGAACACGGGCCCGGCCAGCAGGTTGTACTCGGTTCCGGTGCCCGTGTAGTCCCACTTACAGCCGTGGTGGCCGTCGGCGTCAACGAAGCTCGTGCAGCTGCGGGAAAGGGATGGCACATTTAGAAACGTGAGAAAGACCGTCTCCGATATCGATGGAATGTTTGGAAACATAGGACCCGCGGCTGCTGAAGAAGATCAGTCTATTTGACTCCTGTGCATGAAAATATTTTTCAAACGGTTTGCATAGCAGTGCCTTTAAACCCCAGTTAAGATTACGATCAGATATTTCAAAGACAAATTCAGTCTTAAAGTATGTAAATGCATGATCTCCTGAAATGAATGTAGATTGTAGATGCATTCAGGAATGCATGTAGAATTAGATGCATGTAAAACACCGTCTCAGCTGGCGGACCCGTGACCGATACGCACAGTCCCCCTTTCTATGCGACTCATGTCGTCTCAGTTACACCCCCCCCCCCCCTCCCCAGTCTCCCTCCATGCGACTCACGTCGTCTCCGTGGTGATGGCCGTGCAGTTGCCGTCCTCCAAGGTCGACTTGACCGTCTCATTGAGCAGGCAGCCCTTGTCGCCAAACTCGATCTCCTGCGCCGATGGCCGCGCCACGATGGCCAGCATGTAGCGATCCAGCTGGTTGAGCAGGTAGGTGAGAAGCAGCAGCAGCAGCACGTACAGGCTGTAGCCGGAGGAGCGCAGCAGGCCGCGCAGACCGGTGGGCGCCGCCGCGGCTGGCGCGCCACCCTGCTCACCATCATGCAGCTCATCTGTAGGCGGGAGGGGCAGTGGAGCTGTGAGTGGTGGTCACTGGGCAACACTGGCTGATAGGGTGGGTAGTGGGAAAATAATCCATATCCAAAACAGGACTGCAACATCATACTGCAACAGGAATGCAGCAGATATGGGTGTACTAGCACTTACTTGGTAGTCTTGGTATTTGGGTGGAAATATGGTGATCGATGAACTGAGAAGATTTGTGAGTCAGTAACTGATGTAAAGGTATGTAAATCAAAACATTATGGGCATCTAAAATGACAAGCAGTTGCCAAATTCTAACAACTATTGCCTTATTATGTATTGCTGCATTGCACACTAACAATATATTCATGTCCAGCTAGTAACATATAAGAATAATTAGAAGACCAAATAAGACAATGGACGAAGCCCTCAAAAATTACCTCGCAGTAGGGGCTGTCTTTCATCATTTGATGACTGTGCTCGGTACCTTGAAAATACACATTTCAATCAACAAACTGGCCTCCTCAGAATCAGTAGCTACGAGAAACCACTTGGTGCCAGTTTGAAAGGTACAATAAGAATTAATTAAATAAACACACTTCTTATATTTCTTGAAATGCCAGACTATAGTTGAACATATTTATCCAAACTTCCCCCTCAGCGTTAGTTAAGGACTTCCAAGTAATGAAAGGTTATCAGAATAGCTTTATCTTATCCAAAGAGAACATTCAGTCAGGAAGAAGCTTGAGCGTCGTGAAACATCAGCTATTAAAATGGTAGTACGAGGACAGCCATTTGTTGAAAAGAATAGCAATCCATACACATACAACATAGCACACACCTTCTCCTTTTAGTGTTTTGATTAGACATGATTTCTCCTCAACATCAAAATCAATAATATGATAACTCCAACTGGTATACTATGGATTATGGTATACCTAATCCACAGTTTTTAAGAAAAGAATAATTCTGAAAAGGAATCTGCAAATAACAAAAAAAAATCAGAGATCAAAACTGAAGGACATTGTTCAATATGTATTACATAATTTCATTACAGTAAAAGTAGAATGAAACGATTCAGATTAATTCCTTGAAAAAGGTTCAAGTTGAGGTCATATAAAGGTGATTTGAACCGGTAACTTGAACTAGCAGTAGGCTCTTGTTTCACACTGCCTATTATGCATATATTGAATGTTAATTAGGAGTGGCTGATCCCAAAAAATTGTCAGCAACGACTGAGACGGGCCCAAGACGGGCCTATCTGGGGCCGATCCGTGCAATTCGCTTCAACAATTTTTCTCCCATTGCTCAACTCTCAGTGCTCAGAGCTCAGAACAAAGGAGAGTTTCTTTGAGTGTTTACAGCCTAGTCACTGAGCAGTATCGAACTGCCCCAAAGCGTCATTCCCGGTAAGTGATTGGCCTATAGTTATATCCTAGAGCAGAATATCAGAAAGAGATACTAAAAGAAACATAATATTTTGTCACAAGCGCGCTACTTACAGTATCCACTTTTGTGAGCCGAACAGCTGCTTAAGGAAGAAGACAGCTAAATTAACATTTTCACAATGATATTTTAAAAGCGCATATACATAGTCATTTGTCATGTAGATTTAGTTTCTACTTAAAGATGAAAAATTGAAAAATGAAACTAAAGCGACTACATAAACCATTTGGATGCATAATTTTGACTAGTGTTCAACCGTAAGCCGCCACTCACAGCTTCGTAACATGTTGCGAAGATTTGTAAAAGATATAATGTGCTTATTAGCCGTTTTCATGACGGCCATCTGGTACTCACCGACGGCCATCTGGTGCAGATTACTGATTAGGTGCATATTTGGTCAGATTTGGTCAGATTAGGTTCAGTGCATTTTAAGAAAATTTAGCAGTTTGGATTGCACAGATGCTTATGTATACCTAACCTCATTTTTTCAGCTTAGGTATCAGATATTATTTTCTGAAATAAGTTCATGATACGAATATATTTATTGTAAAAGATATTTCGTGCAAATTTGATCAAATTAGGTTCATTCGCCAGATAACCCGTCGTGAAAACGGCTATTATTTATTACACTCTGTAGGTACGTACCTACTTTTACATTTAGATATTATATGGCTGGTAATGAGTCATGAGTGATAACGTGATGCATCCGTTATTTCGTTGACATCTACCAATTATTATCCAAATCATAAATGTTCAATATGGGCTCCGGTCGATCACGGCGGAAAAGTTTTGTTCATACTTACCTATTAGTATCCTATTATTAGGTATGTACTATGTAGGTACTAGGTCCACTCAACCGAAGGACCAACAAGCCGATGCCTTACTCATACACTTGTGACAAAGAGAGGATAATAACACATGAGACACTTGTTTATAATGTGTGCCCAAATACAGTTGCCACTTGTTATGCTTGTAGGATAGGCTTACGGTACAAGCGACCGCTAGACCCACACGTATAGTATAGGCATAGGGCATGCTCTGTCGAACATGCATGAACAATGTACAGCGTGTACCTATAGGTAGTGGGGATATAGGTATGATATGAGCAGGGGTGTCGATTTTTCAAAATGGTTGGGGGTGCTCAACCCCTGCACCGGGTGAAAGATTGCAGCTTTGCCATGGGGCACAACCGTACAAGGCAGGGTTGGTTATCCCCATAAGGTACTGATAATGCCGGGATTTCCACTAACATTTCCCAAGGGCAGAACGTTCTTCTTGAAAATCATTCTGCTCGTCCTATTACTTGGCTTCTTTATTACATTAACATCTTTCCGAAAAAAGTCGTATATTTGCCGGCAGCATAGCAGCGGCCCCGACACCTCTGTAATAAGGCGACAGAAACCAATGACGGCGATTAGCACCGGTGCAGCAGCCGCTGCGGTCCGCAGGGGCGGACATTGCGCGGAGGCAACGGTGGCTACGAGGCTCTGGCGGTAATCAGACGATCCCAATAATGATCGCTGAAAAATGACAGGTGATCGCATTTGGATATTTACGGGTTTACGATTTTCCTCAGTGGCGTAGCCAGGTGGGCCATGAGGCACGTGCCCCCCCCCCCCCCATCAGGTTCGGGCCCAGGGTCCCCTCGGGTTATTCGGGCTTGAGGGGCCCTGAGGCGCCATTGGCCGCTAAGAGTCAATGTTGGTCATATTTGGACAAAGAAGGATCCACGGGGCTCGTAAAAAAACCCTCATGGACCCACAAGTACCAACACTAAGATCTCCATAAGGGCCCCAAGCCAGTCTCTGAGGGCCCCTTGGCGGCCTCTGAGGGCCCCTTACCGGCTTCGGAGGGCCACATGTCGGACTGTGGGGGTCTTAACCGGCTTATTCCCAGCCAGCTAATTTGGTCTTGGCCGTAGCTGGTTTTACTCTGGCTAGCTCCGGCATTTGCTCCGGCTAAAGTACGGGCAAGGTCTGGTCGTATCTCTACTGGAGCTGACACACGAACCCGGAGCTCGCCCGCATCACAGCCGGACTTATGCCACATCAGCCGTGCCGTACCTCCACCGTACTTCAGCCACAGTAAGCCAGAGCAGCTATGGGGTGCAGCCGGACCTGGTCGGTCGTAGGGAGCCGGACTTGAGCCATGGCAGGGAGCCTGACTTGAGCCAGACTTGGCGGTCCGGAACCATACCAACCCGGGAGCGCTACAGCAAATACTGGCTAGCCGGAATAGAGTCGTATCGACCCAAACCCCGGATTTGACGGCGTTCCGTTTATACCGGCCCAAGTCTGGCATGTCGCAGTTGCCGGGGCAAAACGGGCTTGCGCCGAACCAAATTGCTGGCTGGGTAAGGGCGCCAGCTCTAGGAGCTCCGCACCCGCCTGTAATGGCCCCACACCCATTTCTCTGAAGGCCCCTATAACGGCGACTGTGAGGGCCCTCACCGACGCCCCTGAGCGCCACACCGGCGTCTCTGAGGCCCTACACCAATGCCTTTAAAACCTCTACATGGGCGGTTCTGAGGGCCCTCGTCAGGTACCAGCGACCCTGACGGTCCCACACAGGTGGCTCGGAGGGTCCCAGCGGCGTCTGAGAGCACCATGCCGGTATCTGAGAATCCCACAAGGCTCCTGAAGGCACCGGTGACCTCTTGATATCTTCTTGTCGGCCTATGAAGGGTCCGTTCCGTAACAGCAGTTCTGAGGGCCGCGCGCCTGTGATGGCCCTAAACCAGTGTCTCTAAGAGCCCCCACAACGGCGCCTGTGAGGGCCATCACCGGCAACTGTGAAGCCCCTACACCGGCGCCTCGGAGGGCCATACATTGCCGTATCTGAGGGCCCCGCACTAGTGCCTCTTAAGGCCCTATATCGGCGGCTCTGAGGGCCCAACACCGTCGCTTCTGAGGGCCCCACAAGTGCACATGACGGCCACCCACCGGTGACATTTGAAGGCCCCACACCGGCGACTCTGAGGGCCCCATCGGCGTCCGAGTCCCTGCCGGTCTCTAAAGACGACCCCACAGGGTTTCTGAAGGTACCACCGGCCTCTTATGGCCTTTGCCGGCCTCTGAGGGCCCGTCGCCTGTCTCTGGAGCCCCCTGCCGGCTTGTAAAGGGTACGCGTTATCAGCTCTAAGGATCAGACACTCGTGTACGACGGACCCACACCAGTGTCTTTGCAACTGAACGTCTTTTTTTCGCCCTTCTTCTTAAGACTAACTTTTCTTTTCTTTACATCTTATTTCATGCATTGTAAATTGCGTAATTGTTTTATTTTTAGTAGTGAAAGACTGCGGAACGAATTATTTTCCTCAAGCAGAGTTAGTGGGAGTTATTGAGGGACAAAATGATTGGGGTTGCTAACTGGAACATTTGGGGGTGCCCGGAAAACCATTGGGGGTGCTCATTTGAGCATTGGGGGTGCTGCAGCACCCCCAAAAGTATACAAATCGACACCCATGGATATGAGCATATTTTAAAGTCACCCATAACCTCTCCTTATGTCCTTGATGTCATCTCAGGTCAAGAGAGGGAATAAATCAAAAGATTAGGTATCAGTTCATCATAAGATTATGTTTTTTTAGCTAATCTTCTGATAGATGCATGTGGCTAGAGCGATGAAAACAACTGAGATGTTTTCAGCTCGACGATACAGATCGACTTATATGCAGCACGACATTTTCTTTTCCCGTCAGGTAATGTCCTGAGGTCAAATTTTCCAGTTGACCTTTCAAAGTCATATTATAGTTCATCGGATGCGTCTCGACGAGAGGAATACGACGTTAGCAGAGTAAGCTCGTGGCATATTTTGAGTGAAAAGCTATTGCAGAAAACTGTTTTCACAAAAACGTCTATTTTGGCACTTTTCGCTCCCTGCAGGCTAAACCGCTGACCTTAGGTCAAATCTGAGGAAAATAGCGGCTTTTCCGCGGCGCTGTAGCTCTACCTGTTCCGGTACTACACTCCAATTTGTCGAGCATTGGTGAATTTTGACCTGGAAATTAGCGAAAGTTTACCTTCGGTGACCTGTGCATGACATTTGAGTCTTGACCTTGCGTCATACACACAAATAAAGATGTAATTCGCTGCCAAGGCCCCAAAACTGGAGGTCCGCTGCCAACGATCCGTCGCGCCTTTCATACGATTAGACAGTAGACAGGCCAAAGCGCCGCCGCTGGCCAATCGGAGACCCAAGAGAGTGGCACGAGTACTTCTACACAGCACCGCCTAAACATGGGCGATAGTTAGCATGGTTCATATACAGCGTGTTTATTATCTCGTTCACGCGGCCCGTGTCTTGTATCAAGCACATGCCACTTTGGTTTACTGTATATGTTTATAGTTATCAGGTGGCTTATCATCCTACAGGCACCGCAAAACGCAATGTGCACAGATCAAAGTGCAGGCACCAGCCGTGTGTGTGTCGAAGCCCGGAGGGCTTTTCAGCAATCAGAAGTAACATTATACGGGACAAAACAATTTACGTAGGTGGGTATCAGGTATGTGCCCCGTTTCATCACATGAAGCTAAAATATACTAATTACGTTTCAAGAAGGATTCATGCTGCCAATTCACTTGAATGTATTATTTGCTAATGTCCATCAACTGGGTAACTAAGGCTGGTATTGCTTGACCTTAATTCTATGCCGCTGGTTTTGGAAAAGTGGCCAGGCTTCGGGACCCCGAACCACCAATTCGGGTCCTGGACCTGATGAAGCTGAGATTCACGTGTATATGTACGACCATAGTTTCAAAGCGAGCTGACATCACCTACCGAGCTTGAGAGAGTCCTTCTTTTCCGACATGATGCCGCCAATGACACGGTCTTCAGTTCAGCGGCAGGTCAGGTGCAGGTCAGCGGCAGGTCAGCAGAAGGTCAGCGGCAGGTCAGCGGCAGGTCAGCACCAAGTCGGAGTCCCGGCGGCTGATCAGCGGACTCGGCGTCTTGGGGCCGACGGGATCGTGACTTCACCCTGCCCCGATCACCGTGCGACTGCACAGCGCTCTGAGAAGTGCCGGACGGCTCCGCAGTCGGCGGCGGGGATGGCAGGGGGAGGGGGGGGGGGGGTCGGCAGATAGGGACGGTGTCACCGGTCTCACTGGCGGCACGGAAGGTTCGAACGGCACGAGAGCAGTGCAAACGCAGGGGCGCACTTTGAGGTGGTCATTGAGATATTTAAATGAACTTAAAGAATGACAAATCACGGGCACGAAGGCCAAGAGCCGTCGGGAACATTCAAAAATGGCATATCCGGTGAGGTGGATGTCTCGTTCACCTAGCCGGCGAGGTCACACAGAGATCAGATTGGGTCACATGTGGAGTGCCGATTGGAGGGGGACTAGCGTGACCGTTGAACTATAAACGCACGACATCGTAAATGCGTTCAGATATGGATGATGGAAAAGACAACTTGTCGAGTCATCGCTGGTTGTGGAAGTTAGGCTTCAAATTATGCCTACCTACCCATACAAACGAACCATCACTTGCGAGCTAGGAGCACTGTAAATGTATTTTTTCCGGACATCAACGATATTGCATTCGGGTGTCCTCAGAGAACCCGCCTCTATCGACCTCTGTTGACTTCAAACGACCCCTTATTTAACCTCGAGGCCCACTATAAACCTTTGAGGATCTTTTGTTGTCCTCAGAAGGCACTCTTTGTTCTATATAAGGCCGTCTGTTGACCTCAGAGAAACCTCTGCTTCCGAGGGCTCTCTGTTTGCATCGGAGGGTCCTCTGCTGACCTCAGAGGACCCTCGGTTGTTGACCTCAGGAGTCAGGACCCTTTCCGAGCCTGAGGTTCCAGTCACAGAGTTCTCTTTTACACTGAAAGAAAAAATGACACCCTGTACGGGGTATTGACGGTCATGTCAAAAATAACACCCGAGTGGGGTGTTTTGAGGGGAGTCGCTGAGCTATTATAAATGGGGTGTTTGGCGTACACCCCAGGAGGGTTTCGACGCATAGTGGGGAGTCGCAGCCGCTAAAGGGGGGTCAGCGCCGGCCCACATGGGGTTCCGTTAGACTGCAGGTGACACCCCTCAAATATCAGCCGAGCACCCCTTTTTGGTCCCTAAGCACCCGACAGGGTGTCAAACTCCCAAATTAGGGTGTAAAATATAGCAGCTCAACACGTCCGTGAAGTTAGCGTCGTATTCCGCGACGGATTCAGCGTCGAGTCCGAATTTCAACTAAACCCAACCTATCCGATGCAGTTTGGGACGCTGATTCCGAATATCGTATTCATTTCAAATTTCAAGGTCATCTTCAAGGTCAAATCACGGATTGAAATTGAGACCCCGATTTTTCCTACACCGATCGTCCGATCCGATTTCTGAAGGTCGCATTCAAAAGCTAGGGTCAGAATCTCAAATTCCCTAATATATACCTTATTAAAAATATTTGACCTTCAAGGTCAAATCACGGATTGAAATTTTGAGTCCCCCTATTTTTTCTACACCGATCGTCCGATCCAATTTTTGATGGTCGCATTCGATAGCTAGGGTCAAAATCTCGAGTTCCCTAATATATACCTTATTAAAAATATTTGACCTTAAAGGTCAAATCACGGATTGAAATTTTGAGTCCCCCTATTTTTTCTACACCGATCGTCCGATCCAATTTCTGATGGTCGCAATCGATAGCTAGGGTCAGAAACTCGAGTTCCCTAATATATACCTTATTAAAAATAGTTGACCTTAAAGGTTAAATCACGGATTGAATTTTTGAGTCCCCCAATTTTTTCAACACCGATCGTCCGATCCGATTTCTGATGGTCGCATTCTATAGCTAGGGTCAGAATCTCGAGTTCCCTAATATATACCTTATTAAAAATATTTGACCTTAAAGGTCAAATCACGGATTGAAATTTTGAGTCCCCCTATTTTTTCTACACCGATCGTCCGATCCAATTTCTGATGGTCGCAATCGATAGCTAGGGTCAGAAACTCGAGTTCCCTAATATATACCTTATTAAAAATATTTGACCTTAAAGGTCAAATCACGGATTGAATTTTTGAGTCCCCCAATTTTTTCAACACCGATCGTCCGATCCGATTTCTGATGGTCGCATTCTATAGCTAGGGTCAAAATCTCGAGTTCCCTAATATATACCTTATTAAAAATATTTGACCTTAAAGGTCAAATCACGGACATTCAACCTTAAAAGTCAAATCACGGATTGAAATTTTAAGTCCCCCGATTTTTTCTACACCGATCGTCCGATCCAATTTCCGATGGTCGCATTCGATAGCTAGGGTCAAAATCTCGAGTTCCCTAATATATACCTTATTAAAAATATTTGACCTTAAAGGTCAAATCACGGATTGAAATTTTGAGTCCCCTATTTTTTCTACACCGATCGTCCGATCCAATTTCTGATGGTCGCAATCGATAGCTAGGGTCAGAAACTCGAGTTCCCTTATATTTACCTTATTAAAAATATTTGACCTTAAAGGTTAAATCACGGATTGAATTTTTGAGTCCCCCAATTTTTTCAACACCGATCGTCCGATCCGATTTCTGATGGTCGCATTCTATAGCTAGGGTCAGAATCTCGAGTTCCCTCATATATACCTTATTAAAAATATTTGACCTTAAAGGTCAAATCACGGATTGAAATTTTGAGTATTTCTAGGGTCAGAAACTTGAGTTCCCTAATATATACCTTATTAAAAATATTTGACCTTAAAGGTCAAATCACGGATTGAATTTTTGAGTCCCCCAATTTTTTTCAACACCGATCGTCCGATCCGATTTCTGATGGTCGCATTCTATAGCTAGGGTCAGAATCTCGAGTTCCCTAATATATACCTTATTAAAAATATTTGACCTTAAAGGTCAAATCACGGATATTCAACCAACGATCGGTGTAGAAAAAATAGGGGGACTCAAAATTTCAATTCGTGATTTGACCTTTAAGGTCAAATATTTTTAATAAGGTATATATAAGGGAACTCGAGATTATTACCCTAGCTATCGAATGCGAACATCAGAAATTGGATTGGACGATCGGTGTTGAAAAATAGGGGGACTCAAAATTTCAATCCGTGATTTGACCTTTAAGGTCAAACATTTTTAATAAGGTATATATTAGGGAACTCGAGATTGTGACCCTAGCTATCAAATGCGACCATCAGAAATTGGATCAGACGATCGGTGTAGAAAAAATAGGGGGACTCAAAATTTCAATCCGTGATTTGACCTTTAAGGTCAAATATTTTTAATAAGGTATATATTAAGGAATTCGAGATTATGACCCTAGCTATCGAATGCGACCATCAGAAATTGGATTGGACGATCGGTGTAGAAAAAAGGGGACTCAAAATTTCAATCCGTGATTTGACCTTTAAGGTCAAATATTTTTAATAAGATATATATTAGGGAATTCGAGATTCTGACCCTAGCTATCGAATGCGACCTTCAGAAATCGGATCAGACGATCGGTGTGGAAAAAATCGGGGGACTCAAAATTTCAATCCGTGATGTGACCTTTAAGGTCGAATATCCGTGATTTGACCTCTAAGGTCAAATATTTTTAATAACGTATATATTAGGGAACTCGAGATTCTGACCCTAGCTATCGAATGCGACCATCAGAAATCGGATCGGACGATCGGTGTTGAAAAAATTGGGGGACTCAAAAATTCAATCCGTGATTTGTCCTTTAAGGTCAAATATTTTTAATAGGGTATTTATTAAGGAACTCGAGATTCTGACCCTAGCTATCGAATGCGACCATCAGAAAATGGATCGGAAGATCGGTGTAGGAAAAATAGGGGGACTCAAAATTTCAATCCGTGATTTGACCTTTAAGGTCAAATATTTTTAATAAGGTATATATTAGGGAACTCGAGATTTTGACCCTAGCTATCAAATGCGACCATCAGAAATTGGATCGGACGATCGGTGTAGAACAAAAGAGGGGGACTTAAAATTTCAATCCGTGATTTGACCTTTAAGGTTGAATATCCGTGATTTGACCTTTAAGGTCAAATATTTTAATAAGGTATATATTAGGGAACTCGAGATTCTGACCCTAGCTATAGAATGCGACCATCAGAAATCGGATCGGACGATCGGTGTTGAAAAAATTGGGGATTAAAAAATTCAATCCGTGATTTGACCTTTAAGGTCAAATATTTTTAATAAGATATATATTAGGGAACTCGAAGTTCTGACCCTAGCTATCGATTGCGACCATCAGAAATTGGATCGGACGATCGGTGTTGAAAAAATTGGGGGACTCAAAAATTGAATCCGTGATTTGACCTTTAAGGTCAAATATTTTTAATAAGGTATATATAAAGGAACTCGAGTTTCTGACCCTAGCTATCGATTGCGACCATCAGAAATTGGATCAGACGATCGGTGTAGAAAAAATAGGGGGACTCAAAAATTCAATCCGTGATTTGACCTTTAAGGTCAAATATTTTTAATAAGGTTTATATTAGGGAACTCGAGTTTCTGACCCTAGCTATCGATTGCGACCATCAGAAATTGGATCGGACGATCGGTGTAGAAAAAATAGGGGGACTCAAAATTTCAATCCGTGATTTGACCTTTAAGGTCAAATATTTTTAATAAGGTATATATTAGGGAACTCGAGATTTTGACCCTAGCTATCGAATGCGACCATCAGAAATTGGATCGGACGATCGGTGTAGAAAAAATCGGGGGACTCAAAATTTTAATCCGTGATTTGACCTTTAAGGTTGAATATCCGTGATTTGACCTTTAAGGTCAAATATTTTTAATAAGGTATATATTAGGGAACTCGAGATTCTGACCCTAGCTATAGAATGCGACCATCAGAAATCGGATCGGACGATTGGTGTTGAAAAAGTTGGGGGACTCAAAAATTCAATCCGTGATTTGACCTTTAAGGTCAAATATTTTTAATAAGGTATATATTAGGGAACTCGAGTTTCTGCCCCTAGCTATCGATTGCGACCATCAGAAATTGGATCGGACGATCGGTGTAGAAAAAATAG